AGTTTCATTAGTTTTACCCCCAGGAACTGAAATACTAGTGTTATTGTTAACATATCTATGGAGATATTTTCAATATTGCATTCAAATGCTGACCTTTCCTTCTGCCCACCCCAGTTCATTCTGTTGTGTGTTGCTGTTTTTGTCCCACATATTTTAAATTACTCTCTGTATGAAAAATTGATGTGTAGTTTATACTAGCCATTCTCTTTCTTACTGCCTTACAAGTCCCCCTGCTTCTTTTCCTTTGTCTTTTTGGACAAATCTGTCAATTTCTGCATTTGGGAGAATTCATACAATTCCTGTGGGTTGGCACTATGATTTGTATGTTGCATGAAGCTAGATTTACATAAAAAGATTTGATCATTGATTTCATATCACTGAACTCAAAACTTCAATGAGCTGCCAAAACAATGTTCCTTCTCATTAGGTGTTTGATGCTAATACAGATACAGCTGGTCCTGGCAACGTTGTGTAGTTTGCAAAATATACAATGTGAACATTTTGTCTCATTATTTGATTCTTGTTATGGGAACTATACTATGTTTTTGTTTCTTGAAGAGGTAACTTTTCCTTTGTCACAAACAATATAGTTCTCATGCACTTTTTCAAGCTCCCTGAGTTAAGAAATCATTGTCCAAACTTCCTCATGTGCAGAGCTGCTGTTATGTGGACACTTATGTGAAAGTAGATTCCACTGAGCACAGTTGGACGTAACTTTCAAATAAATATATTTGTAATTGTACTATAATTAAGAAAACAAGGAAATTATTTTTCTTTCCTCCTTCTATTTATGCTTATCTTGGAAAAGGCCAGTAAAACAACACTGAATGGAAAAGGCTTTATGAGCTCTCAACATGTTTAGGCAGTGGACACCTTGGAAGCCAAGGACCTGGTGGAAAAGGAGGTTCAGTGCAAGGGATGACTAGATGGTATGTGATGTGATGTCATACTGATTTAGAAGGAGTAGGTCATATGAGTAAACAAATATTTGGGAAGACAAGATGGAGCTTGAATTTTACACAGCAGTGTTCAATACTTTTACAGATATAAATGTCCAGTAACACTGTTCTGACATGTTCCGGAGCCATACATTTGTTTTCTACTGACATGATTTTAGCAGCCTGGCTTGGACAAGATCTAAACTTAAACTGAACAAAAATGAATGAACAGACAAGGAAATGAAAAGTCAGTTCCATGGAGTTCCTTTGGTGAACAGTCTACATCAGGCATGTGCAAACTTGGGCTCTCCAGGTGTTTTGGACTTCAACTTCCACCATTCCTAACAGCTTCAGGCACCTTCCTTTTCCCCCTCAGCCGCTTAAGCAGAAAAGAGGAAAGGAAGGGGCTTGAGGCTGTTAGGAATGGTGGGAGTTGAAGTCCAAAACACCTGGAGGGAGGGCCCAAGTTTGCCCATGCCTGGGCTACATTCTCTCAATTGCCTCGAACTTAAAAAGAGGACTTAAAAATAAAGATGTTCTCATTTTACATTAAATTATTCCAACACTGGAGATACTTATAAGGGTGATCCCAGAGATGGAAATAAAAAATACTATTTCTAAGATAACTGTTTAAGAAGAGGGAGCTGTGAACGAGAGAGCAAATTCTAAGAGTTGTTCTGTCTCTTTTATTCTCTTCTTTCCCCAATGTGTGAACTGCTTTTTTTTTTCAAATACAGAAGGCCATCTCATTAAACTATCTGGAAGTTTAACATTTTCAGAATTGTACTTGGAATTATAAATTTAGTATGATTCACCATTTTTGTCAGGAGTGTCTGACCAGTTCAAAGTTATGGCCTTGAGCTATTCCTGCAGCTCAGTTACAACTCCAGGAACCCAAAGACACTTTGTCAGACAGAAATATACCAACTTATTGACCAATCAGTGTTTCTTACATAAATGAAAATGAAAATTAAGTGCAGCTAGGCAAGTCCAAAGTCTATCAAATTCAGGTGACTCATCAAATCTGAGTCAAATCAAATGCCATTGAAAGTTCATAATCCAGGCATTAAGTAATAGCCACCAATAATGTCTTTGTATCCCAGCATCTAGTTCTGAACATGGAGGTTCTATGTGTTGTTGAAGGCTTTCATGGCCGGAATCACTGGGTTGCTGTGAGTTTTGCGGGCTGTATGGCCATGTTCCAAAAGCATTCTCTCCTGACGTTTTGTCCACATCTATGGCAGGCATGCTTAGAGGTTGTGAGGTCAGTTGGAAACTAGGCAAGTGAGGTTTCCATCAGACCTCACAACCTCTGAGAATGCCTGCCATAGATGTGGGTGAAATGTCAGGAGAGAATGCTTCTGGAACATGGCCTTACAGCCTGCAAAACTCACAGCAACCCAATGGAAGTTCTGTTTAGCACTACTAAAACAGGACCAAGAATAATAATGAAAACATCTTAAGTGAGAATCTCAGTTAATCAAATAGAATATTATCAAAATACCACAACTAATGAATTCAAGTTTTATGTATAAAGGGTTTTTTTTTGTTTCAGTAGGTTGTTACTGGTCTCAAGGCAGCTTGCAAAGTAAAAGAGGTATAGATAATACAATTTTTATGTAATTGTGTGATATAAATATATGTATAAGCTTTTTATACATAAAGATCACTGTGCAAAATGCCATCCCATGCCAATAAAAGTAAAATGGGTCCAAAAGAGGAAACTATAGGCCATGCACTGCAAAGTAAATTATGACGATAGGAAGTCTGTACAAGGAAAAAAAAGTACAGTATCATTTATACCTCCCAAGGCAAGCCTTGGAAATTGGAACAGGGTCAAGGACTGAATGTTGGTCGAAGGGAAGTCCAGCTTCAAGGATGAGGTGCAGTTCCCTGGTTTAAAATGCCCTGCTTCTACCCTCCTTAAGTTTAGAGAAGTCCTCTGTTCTAGAAATTAATAGATTTTTTAATGTTATTTTTCTTTAAAACCTAGTGGATATTTCTGCTTCATTTGATGAACCCCAGCCTCCAATTACGTAATCCTCAGTGTTACCATTGCTGTCTTGGAGTAGCTTATTCTTGATCAGACAGCATTTTAGTAGGGGTCCAGTTGGGCAGGGGCACTTACTTTTCTCTGCTGACACCAACTGGCCACACCATTTCCATTTCCCCCTCTTTCTTTAGCTTGTGCAGTTCCCTAATTGCTTATTGTTTCCAAGGTAAGATCTTTGCATCCAGTCTCATGGATTCCGGCTATATCCCTGATCCAGAATTTTTGTTGCCACTCAGTCTGGACCTACTCTGCCATATAATCCAGTTTCAGAGTGCAGGTTAACTGATTTGAACTGGGTTTTTAAGTCTACACTGCTTTATAATCTAATTCAATGAATTTGCTTTCAGAAACTGTATTATATGGCAGTATAGATGAAGCCTCAGCCTTGATCTATTGAACTAGCATGTTCCAACTCCTCGAGTCTGAGAAGTGATCTGTTGATTTTTGTTTCTGGCACATTGATTTTTTTTAAACTGAATATGAAGAAATGCATGAAAATGGAAAGATGAAAGGCAATTATTACCCATCCCTACATTAAAGGTGACATGTCACCAAATTTCAGTGTGAGTCAGAGCTACAGAGGCGTCATAATTTGAAATAAAGGGTGTGATGATACATGTCATGGTGTCAAGATGAGAATCAGATCAAATTGTGCATTGGTGAACCTGGGAGGTGATGGGTAATATTTTAGGTATGTGGACATGCGGTTCCTCTGTGACCAGCATTTGAGGACATGTCACCAATCAGAGAAGATTAATCCTTTATCAGACAGATGTAGCTGCTCAGATGAAAAGTCATAGGCCATTTCACATACGACCTCAAGTTTCATTTCAGTTTATTTTTTCAGCCAGAAGCTGTGACATCGTATGTTCCACTGGAGCCCTCGGTTGTGCAGTGGCTTAAACCCTTGTGCCAGCAGGTTGGAAATTTGATTCTGGGGAGAGAGTGGATGAGTTCCCTCTGTCAGCTGCAGCTCCCCATGCAGGGATGTAAGAGAAGCCTCCCACAAGGATGGGATGCCTGGATGTTTTGATTTTTTACCCTGGGCAACGTCCTTGCAGACAGCTAATTCTCTCACACCAGAAGCAACTTGCAGTTTCTCAAGTCGCTCCTGACATGGAAAAAAAGTTCCACTACAACAGATTTATTTATTTAGAATACTTATGCTCCATCCTTCAGCCAAAAAGTTAATCCAGAAGTTCCCTGACCTCAAGCTTACCATCTAAATAAGATACAAAGCATAAAGGAATGGCAGTGGGGAAGGGCATTAAGTTCACCGGACACCAAGGTGCTCCTTGCAGCAACTCCAACTTTTTGCCCCACTTCTTTCAAAGACAAGTTATTTTTTGCCTGCGGTTAGACCCCAAGATTTAATTTTTTTACCCCCAATAAGTATAGAAATGTGTTTATGTGTACATGCAAAAAAAAGTTTCTGAGCTGAAAATTAAGATTGTACATTTGATATTTAGTAGCAAAATATCATAAATACTATGCAGTTCCCTCTTTTATTGGTAAGTAAACGTAACCGACAGAACAGTACAAAAGTATATAGTTTGATTTTAGAAATCCCCCCCCCCCCAAAAAAAAAGTCAATAGGAAGTTCCTTATTTCAGGGTCGCTTTGGGAAGTCCCTTGGAATGAATGGATTTATAAATACATAAATTTTGGCTCCTCAGCCCTTTCAGAGATGGGGAAGTCCACAGTTAGAATAGGTGCTCTTTTTGTGGCTTGTCAATGCATAAATGGTTCCAGGATGGTTCAGAGACAGGACGTACCTATTCCCACTCTCCTTCCCTCTTTCGCTTTCTCGCTTTCTTGTGAGTGTATGTTTCCTGTCTGAAGTCCTTATGGGAGATGAAGAACCAGATTTTTCTGGGCGTTGTACTTGAATGTGTGTGAGGTGACGTCAATCCACTCCACACCTTCACCAGCTGTTCAAGGTTCATAGGCTGCTCCAGCTTCATTTGGCAAATCTACCATTGGCAGCACTAACTCACAAAGCAAGAGCGATGTTGATCTGGGATGAGAAGAACGCTCTAGAGTGGCTCCCTTCACAAATTGCTAAGCTCTTTGGTAAGGACGAGTTGGGTTCTCCTTGAAGAAATGTGGGCTGATTTCCCTAATTTGGGCTTGCAAGGGCTTTGTTGGTATCAATTAAGGAGCAAGGAAATTGTGTCTTAGAAGCCGGAAGGAAATTTGAGATGGATTAAAGGCATGGCAGTGAACTGTGAAGGGCGGCTACAAAGCACAGACCTGTTGCCACTTGTTTGTCTGCTTGCTGAGCTTTTTGACACCAATGGAAAATGGCAAGAAAGACAAGATATGTGCCTGCATCAGAGTGAGGGTGTGTTTCGGTTGTATGTGTGTCATACGAATGCTGGGCTCAGTGCAAGGAGCAAAAGAAGGGACAAGAGTGTTATCAGTGCGTCTTTGATATATCAGATCCTACACCATGTTTAATTGAGAGTGAGGGGATCTCAGAGGCTTGTACAAAAAGGAAGCAATGCCATTTCCCTCGAACACACGTGTATCTTTTTTGGGCACACATGACTTGTGTTGACCTGGCAACTATTGCCTGTGGCATAAATAGGCAAGTTGTACTGAACATGAAAGCTTGGCAGGGGATGAAGGTATCCCAAGGAGCATTTCTCCTTTTAATTCACAATTATAAACATGCCAGCGCTAAAGTAGTGCATTGTTTGTTCTCTTTGTGTAGCTCATACTCTATAATAAGGGAGACAGATGTGAGTTTAGATGCCAGTATAATGTTGTAGATCAGAGCTTTCCAAACTGTGTGTCACAACACGTTAATGTGTCAGTTGCAGTGTGTTTCAAATGTAAGAAATAGTTCAAGTTTACTTGTGTGGTGGTCTTTTTTTTGTGCTTACCTTCAGGTAATGTTTTGAAGCCACATCATTACAGGGGAAACTTAATGTTACTCACTGTTCTTAATCCAATTTAATACTCTGCTCTTAATGTATTGCCAAAGGCTTTCATGGCTGGAATCAATGGGTTGTTGTGAATTTTCCGGGTTGTATGCCCATGTTCCCGAATCATTCTCTCCTGATGTTTTGCCTGAATCTATGGCAGGCATCCTCAGAGGTTGTGAGGTCTGTTGGAAACTAGGCAAGTGAGGTTTATATATCTGGAATGTCCAGGGTGAGATAAAGAACTCTTGTCTGTTTGACGTAGGTGTGAATGTTTCAATTAGCTACCTTAATTAGCATTTAATGGCCTTTCAGTTTCAATGTCTGGCTTCTTTCTGCTTGGTGGATCCTTGTTGGGAGATGATTAGCTGGCCCTGATCGTTTCTTGTCTGGGATTCCCCTATTTTTGACTGTTGTTCTTTATTTACTCTCCTAATTTTAGAGTTTTTTTTTAAAAAAAATACTGTTAGCCAGATTTTGTTCATTTTCATGTTTCCTCCTTTTTGTTGAAATGGTCCACATGCTTGTGGATTTCAATGGTTTCTCTGCTCTTAATGCTAAAAATCATGATGTTTTCCACTCTGAAACAGTTTGTGTTGGGGAAAAATGTTTAAAGGAAAATTTTCTGAATGGCTAGTTGTAAGCTTAGGAGGTGCTGTTCATTTGGAATGAACAGGAAGAAACAAATTTTAATATCCAATTGTACTTCACAGATATAACATCCAAAGAAAACTATTCATAGCTCTCACAGACAGTTATTATTATTGGTAGCACTTATTGGTGTTCCCCCTTTAATTTTCTACTTGTATCTTCTTGGTCCTTACACCTCTGCTTAAATTGCCCCCAATAATCCCTTTGTACAGCCAAGAAAGATAGACCAGGAAATAGTATCTTTGCCTCATAAGATACTAGCTAGCAGTGTTGTTAACAGAACCATCCAATCTCTTGTCTTGCTTCTTGATACTGAATCTATGTTTTGCGAGAACCTTGAATGGAACTTAGCCATATAGTTCTGCTTTCCAAAGGGAAAATTTCCTGAAAATCCCACTGACCAGAAAGCGTCATGTTTAACATCAAGACGCAATAGGTTGGTCATGTGCTCTGTTTCTGTCCATTAACTATAATCATCGCCTTGATTCTGGGAAGCTCTGGTCATTTAATCTTCAGGAACCACTTAATCTACTTTCATATACTTGATTCTAGAGTCCCGGTGGTGCAGTGGGTTAAACCACTGAACTGCTGAACTTGCTGACAGAAAGATTACAGGTTCGAATCCGGGGAGCGGGATTGAGCTCCTACTGTTAGCCCCAGCTTCTGCCAACATAGCAGTTTGAAAACATGCAAATGTTTTAATAGGTACCACTCCTGTGGGAAGTTAACAGCACTCCATGCAGTCATGCTGGTCACATGATCTTGGAGGTGTCTATGGAAATCGCTGGCTCTTTGGCTTAGAAATTGAGATTACTAACCCCCAGAGTCGGACATGACTTTCAGGGGAAACCCTTTACCTTTTATCCTTGATTCTAAATCAGTCATTTTTCTTAATGCTTTCATGTTTGATTCAAGTCAACGCATAGCCTGTCACTTTCTCTAATTACCTATCTGTTGTAACTTGCTCGATTCAGCTTAACATTTCAGGGCTCCTCAATGGCACGCTTGTTCTCTCCTTCTCCTTGCAGAGTCCCACAAGTTCCAAGTTCCTCCCTATCCTGGCAGAAATGGCAGGAGCCCAGAGTCTGCTTCTTCAGGCATGAACCACTCTGAGCACCCTATGGAACAGCTGTCCATATCACCGACCAATGCTAGCCGCATTATGGAGGACTGGAGTGACCTGGCCCAAACCCCTGCGGATGCAGCCTCCCTGAGGTCTGGACATTTGCATAATGGCAACAACAATGCCTCCTCGGGGACCTGGCGATCCTTGAAGAGTCCATCTCTTTCCTCCTCATCCACCCACTCCAAACTCAGCTACCTGGAGCGTGTGGTGTTGGAGATCGTGGAATCAGAGCGCATGTATGTCCGGGATTTACGAAGTATTGTAGAGGTAAGTTGTCCTGCTTGGGTTACTTGATAGGATTGATTCCCTCTGTTTGCTACTATGGTGTGTATTTCCATAAAGACTTCTCATCGTTCAGTCCTGGGATTAAAAGTTTTCTTTGGTCTATCATAGGAAACTTAGGCTTGGGCAGGGAGTTTAGATGCTCTGTTGGATGCACCTCTCTCATTAATGAGTACCACATTCCTAAGAGTGTATTGGTATTTTTATTCAGAAGCACAAAATATTTATTAACTTGTACACAGCATTTGAATAAAATGATAGTGAGTTTTCTTGTGGGTTCCATCTGTTTTCATGTCACCAACCTTGTGGGCTATACACGATTCTTGGAATTGTAGCCACCCTTTCAAGTTTTACTAAACGTATGGAGTTTTTAGAAGCCTCTGGTGGTACAGTGGGTTAAACCACTGAGCTGATGAACTTGCTGACTGAAAGGTCAGTGGTTTGAATCTGGGGAGTGGGATGAGCTCCTGCTGTTAACTCCAGCTTCTGCCAACCTAGCACTTCGAAAACATGCAAATGTGAGTAGATCAATAGGTACTGCTTTGGTGGGAAGGCAAAAGTGCTCCATGCAGTCATGCTGGCCACATGACCTTGGAGGTGTCTACAGACAATGCCGGCTCTTCAGTTTAGAAATGGAGCTGAGCACCAACTCTCAGAATCGGACACAACTAGTCTTAATGCCAAGGGGAAATCTTTACCTCTTTATGGAGTTTTTGATGCTATTGAGTGCCTGGCAATTTTAAAAAGAGCTCCAGATCCTTCACATTTGCTGGGGTTAGGGGCACATAACCCCACAATAGTGGGAAAACTGCACATTTAAAAACATTTTTTAAAAAAACTTGAAAGAACACCTAGGAATCTAGGCTCTCCGGTGTATCAAAAGTGTATCTTTGAAAATTGCACTGGAGGACCTAGAGGTTTCTGGAGAAAACATATTAGTCAAATCCTTGAATAATCAAGTCTGTAAAAGTCAAATCTGCAAATGTGGAGGGCCAGCTGCACTCTCCTCAGACCCATGCCTGGGCTACTACCATTGCCATGCAAGTAGGTGTGGTGGAGGGCTCTATAGTAGTTTTTTTTAATTGTTTGCTTTCTGTCTGTGTGGCAATGCTCATGACATATTATGGCTTGGCAGAATTACTTGGGGAAGATCATAGACACGCAAGAGCTGCTGCTGCGACCAGAACAAGTCAGTGCGCTCTTTGGGAATATTGAGGATATCTACGAATTAAATAGGTGAGTATAGTTTATTCATCAGCCATAGCCATTGGCCAACCCCACTATTTCCCTATTTTTCCTCTTTGAAAAATAGAGCAGAAGGAGACTTCCCTAAAGGGTCTTCTCACAACAGTAGGACAGAAAGGAGGCTACCATGAGACTCGCCAGCCTGCTCTTCCTTACAGTCCTCCTCTTTTTCTGTCAATCTAGCTATGTTAACAGTTCTCACAAGCCAGCCATGTCAGGTCTATCTTGTTCCATTTCAGCCCTCAGTTTCATATATGGTGGACCTTTGGTATCCACTGGATTTTGGTTCCAAGACGTCCCTGTGGATACCAAAATCTGAGGATACTCAAAGCCATTAAATAAAATGGTGTAGTAAAATAATTTCCCTCATGTGAAATGACAATGTTTGCTTTTCCAATTAACGAAAAATATTTTGAAGCCATGGATGGTTGAATCTGTGGGTGCAGAATCTGTGAATATGGATGGACGGCTATGTTGGTTTAAACTTTTACAACGCTGAAATGAAACCAATTTACCAGAAAAACTGTTATCTCAAACATGAACTTATCTAAACATTAAAATTTTCTTCTGAGGTCCTGTTTTGAGTTTCCCTGAGGTTGATAATTTCAGCAAGGGAGCCCTTTCTTTACTGGTGTCATCCTGGTTAAAGAGCATTCTTCCTACAGAGGTTTCCCCAATGCCATCTTTATAGTTTCTTGGCTGCCAAACAAAAACCTTTTTAAAACAACAACAACATCAACATCAACAACACTTTGGTACCCCACCATTGCCTCCCCGAAGGAACTCAGGGTGGCTCACAAAGCACTCAATAGTGCAATAACACTATTGCTCCAGGTGGCACAATGGGTTAAACCCTTGTGCCAGCAGGACTGAAGACTGACAGATCGCAGATTCAGCTCCCCATGCGAGGACATGAGAGAAGCCTCTAACAAGGATGGTTAAAACATCAAAAATCTAAGTTTACTCTCTGGGCAACATCATTCCAGATGGCCAGTTCTCTCGCTCCACAAGCGACTTGCAGTTTCTCAAGTCGCTGCTGACATGAAAAAAAGAAAAAAAGGATGGCTATTGCTCACTTACTGTTACCAAGCCATTTTTGCCTGAAAGGATAGATGATAAAAAATAACAAGGTTTTTATATCTCCAGGTAAAGAATAATAAGCTCCCCTTTTCTTCTATTTTGTCATTAGTTGAAATTGGGGTCCAAAATTCTTCCAGATCTGACCAGAAAAGTTTTCCCCATTCCTAAAGACTCCAAAATAATGATAAAACTGTTTGATACTTGGGGTTTTATTCAGTGGCGTTGGACTGTAATTAAGGAAAGTATTTAGCCACAACATCATCTTCTTGACATGCTTGGCTTGACAGACCCTAGAACAGAGAGAAGACACCATTCTCTCTATATAAGGAAGCAATTTGGGGAGAGGTTGTTTGAGTTCGCATTGCTTCCAGGTAACTGGATGTTTCGACGTTTGCGTGGCAGCTCTATGACTCTTTGGTGTTTCACCTATTTAAATTGCAAGTTCCTCGGGGCAGAAATTGCTTCACAACTTGCGCTTATGAATCATTCAATAAGGAGGATAAATTCCAGTGTGTGGAAGAGTGACTTTTTGGACTATAGTTCCTAGAGTTGTCCGTACTGACCAGGGGGTTCTGGGACATATAGTCCAAGGCATCACTTCTTTATGTTCTGTGGGAAATTCTATGGGTTTGGATCTTTAAAGGCCTTACAAAAGGGGAATTGCAAAAAGTTTCTGAGCAGGGCAAAACAGGATAGCTGTTTTAACCAGAAAGTGTGTAACATCTGCTTTGTGTTTTTGACTCCTCTGGCAACAGTTGAAGGACTGCCCCAGTCCAGGTGGGTACTATACCCAAATACTTTGCATGACCGGCTGCCTTGCATTTTACTTCTAAACTGGGGGAACGGAGGGACTGAAGAGTGTGTCTTGCAGTTTGCCTGCAGCATGATCTCACCCATTTTTGAGTGTCTGTTCTGCTGAGTCCTAGAATACGCTAAACAAGACTACCTTGTTTGTAGGTGTCTGGCTGTAACTGATAAATGACTCTTGCTCTCTCAATTTCTGCTCAGTGAGCTCCTGCAAGATCTGGACAGCTGCCACAATGACCCTGTTGCCGTGGCAAGATGTTTTGTGGACAGGGTAAGCGGATGAGACGTTAATACATTGTGGTGAATTTCTGTCAGAATAGTACAATGGAGCAACCCAGTAGGCACTACTGCACTGTGCCACTGCTTTCCTGTCCTTATTGGAATGAGTTCACTAAGGAGATGCTTGTTAAAAAATGCAATACAACTGTTTGGTTTGCTCCTGACATGATAAATAAATACTAAGGAGATGTGAGATTATGTTGTCGAAGGCTTTCATGGCCAGAATCACTGGGTTGCTGTGAGTTTTTCGGGCTGTATGGCCATTCTCCAGAAGCATTATCTCCTGACGTTTTGCCCACATCTATGGCAGGCATCCTCAGAGGTTGCGAGATCTGTTGGAAACCAGCAAGTGAGGTTTATATATCTGTGGAATGTCCAGGGTGGTTGAAAAATTCTTGTCTGTTTGATCATGTTTGAATGTTTCAATTGGCCACTTTGATTAGCATTGAATGGCCTTGCAGCTTCAAAGCCTGGATGGTTGCTGCCTGGGGGAATCCTTTGTTGGGAGCTGTTAGCTGGTCCTGATTCTTTCCTGTCTGGAATTCCCCTGTTTCTTGAGCGTTGCTCTTTATTTACTGGCAACCAGTATTAAAAAATACTTTAAAATCAGGACAGTAAATAAAGAGCAACACTCAAAAAACAGGGGAATTCTCGACAGGAAACAAGCAGGGCCAGTTAACACCTCCCAACAAAGGATTCCCCAGGCAGGAAGCAACCAGGCTTTGAAGTTGCAAGGCTATTCATTGCTAACTGAGGTGGCTAATTGCAACATTCACATTTGCCTCCAGCAGACAAGAGTTCTTTCTCCCACCCTGGACATTCCACAGATATATAAATCTCACTTGCCTAGTTTCCAATAGATCTTACAACCCCTGAGGATGCTTGCTATAGATGTGGGCAAAACATATGGAGCCTCCGGTGGTGCAATGGGGCTACACTGCACCACTGCACCACCACCACTGCAGTCGGGAGGACTGAAGACCGACAGGTCACAGGTTCGAATCCGGGGAGAGTGCAGATAAGCTCCCTCTATCAGCTCCAGCTCCTCATGTGGAGACATGAGAGAAGCCTCCCACAAGGATGATAAGACATCAAAACATCCGGGTGTCCCCTGGGCAACGTCCTTGCAGACGGCCAATTCTCTCTCACCAGAAGCGACTTGCAGTTTCTCAAGTCGCTCCTGACATGACAAAAACAAAACAAAATAAACAAACAAAAAAACAGGAGAGAATGCTTTTGGAACATGGCCATACAGCCCGGAAAACTCACAGCAACCCAGGTGTGAGATTGTTCCAAAGAGGCTAATGTTGGGCAAGCTGGAGGGCCAAGCGCTGCGCAATTGAAATAAATGCTACCGGCTGTGGGGTGAGTAGAAGTCCAACCACTTATTATTCACTTCTCAGTTTCTTTCTTTTTCCTCCCAGAGTCAAGACTTTGACATCTACACTCAGTACTGCAATAACTACCCAAAGTGAGTATCTTTTGCAATGCAGAAAAGGAAGTAATCCTTCCTATGCTTTCTATTGATTTGTATATTTCCTTCTCACCTAATGAAAACATAAGTGTGTTACATATAAGAAGCTTCTGGGCAGCCTCCAATTCCAGGTGTACATATATAGGGTTGCTTTTTTGTTATTATGTGATCTCCAGCTGGCTCTGACTTATGGCAATCCTATGGATGAGAGGCCACCAAGAACCCTGGGTATTAACAACCCTGCTTCATGTTTTGCACACTTCGAGCCATGGCTTCCTAGAGGGATTCAAACCACTTCTGAACATTCCCTGCTGAAGAAAACCCTATGAAAAACTCTTGTGATTACTACAAGTCAATAGTTGACTTGTAGTAATCCCATTTGTTTCCCATTTGAGACTCTTCCCTTGCAGCCTTTGGTTGAGTATTTGAGAACATCTTTGCTTCTCTGATCATCCTTGAGGTAATGCAGAAGGCTGTCTATTTTGATCTTTGATATGTCATTCATTGTCTTCTGGCTTCTCCTTTCAGCTCTGTGGCAGCTCTGACAGACTGCATGAGGAACAAACAGCTGGCCAAGTTCTTTCGTGAGCGGCAAGAGCAGATCCGCCATTCATTGCCTCTTGGCTCCTATCTTCTCAAGCCTGTCCAGCGCATTCTCAAATACCACTTGCTCCTTCAGGTGATAGGGATTTCTTAAGTTGTCTGACTTTGTAGCTTTTAGATCCAAGCATATTATGTGATTTTTTTAAAAATGCAGCATAATTAAATACTGTCGTTCATTACTGAATTTGTCCTCTGGGTAGTTTCCAATAAAGAACGACAAATCAAAATTGAAATAAAAGTAAAGGTATAGGTTTCCCCTTGACCTGAAGTCTAGTTGTGTCTGACTCTGGGGAGTGGTGCTCATCTCCATTTCTAAGCCGAAGAGCCGGCGTTGTCCGTGGACATCTCCAAGGTCATGTGGCCAGCATGACTGCATGGAACGCCATTACCTTCCTACCGGAACGGTACCTATTGATCTACTCACATTTGCATGTTTTCATACTGCTAGTTTGGCAGAAGCTGGGGCTAACAGTGGAATCTCACTCTGCTCCCCGTATTCAAGCTGCCAACTTTTTGGTCAGCAAGTTCAGTAGCTCAGCAATTTAACCCGGTGTGCCACCAGGGGGCCCAAAAATTCAAATAGAAGATAGAAAATAACAACAGAAAAAATAAAGGCAACATAAAACAAGGGAAGAATTCTCACAGCAACCCCCAAATTTAAAATACACATTTTTAAAATTGATAAACCCAGACTAGATGATTTCTTTAAAAGACTTTCACCTTCTGTGTAAAAGTTAAGGGATTTGGCGCCAGGTGAAACACCCCTTTTTATGGCCATGGAGTTTGCCTTCTCTTGCATGAGTCACAGGTAGGTAGAAGTATAATATGGGAATTATTTAGGAGTCTGGCTGCAATTTACTTTGGAGCCATTTTGAATCATGATTCTAACAGAGAATTAAACATGCATCTCAGTTGGCATGTGTGCCATTGTAAATCTTAAATATTAGTGGAACTGATAATGGATTTTATCCAGTGTTGCCTTTTACTCAATGGCTTCCATGAGTGGAAGAAGCAGGGAATCAGTTTTCATATATTTTCTTTTTCTTCTGCACCATTTTACCTCCCATGCTGTTCCACAGAGCCCTCCATCCCACTGGGGCAGGTTTGGGAGCAAAGTCAACGACCTGCAAAAAGAAAGAGGAATTTAAAAAATCATGATCACTTCTCCTCTGCTAATCAGAGATGTCTTCGCTTAGATCAAATAACCTTCTGTGAGCAGGAGATCAGCAGTATGTCTTCCCTGAAAACATACATCTGAAACGTTGGACAGGCAATTCATTCACTCAAGCCAGTGTTATTATTTATTTATTTATTTATTTACAGTATTTGTATTCCGCCTTTCTCATCCTGAAGGTAACTCAAGGTGATTTACAGTCGGCAACAATTCGATGCCCCAACAGACATAAAATACAATTAAAAACATTTAGCATATAATAATAAAAAACCATACAAAACCAATAAAAAACAAAAAATAATCAGCGTCTCCTTACTAAAATCATTTTCCAGTCGGATTGTCCAGTCTTTCCATAGTTCTACATTTACCTGTTACCCTGTATTTGTAAAAGCTTGCTTGAAGAGCCAGGTTTTTACTTTTTTTTGAAAGGTCAGGAGGGAGAGGGCCGACCTAATATCCCTCAGGAGGGAGTTTCACAGTTGGGAGGCCACCACTGAGAAGGCCCTGTCTCCCGTCCCCACCAGACGCATCTGCGAAGAAGGTGGGAGCAAGAGCAGGGCCTCCCCAGATGATCTTAGAGTCCTAGATGGTTCATAAGGAGAGATACGTTCAGACAGCTGGGGCAGAAATGTTAGAAATTGCTTTTCTTTATACCTGTTTTTCTCTCTCCAGGAGATAGCAAAACACTTTGACATCGAAGAGGATGGCTATGAAGTGGTAGAAGAAGCCATTGACACCATGACCTGCGTGGCTTGGTACATCAATGACATGAAACGGAAGCATGAGCATGCCGTGCGGCTGCAGGTGATGGGAAAAGGGAAATTTGTCCCAGGTGTAATCTGTAATGCCTTGCTTGGATGGCGGGTAGCTGTAGTCAGGCACAACCGAGTGTGGTATATTTATAGTTTTCAGATATGTCAGGTGATGGTTTATGACCCCAAATGGAAGCTCAGATTATCTTATTGGTATATGTAGAAGTAAGAGTTTTTCGAACAAAAAATAACATTGTTGTGTCTGTTGAATTTCTCCTCTTATTCAGTGAGCAAAGTTGCTGAAAGATTGTCTTTCTCTGCCTCTCATCACTTTATTCCCTTTCTACATGATTCACACTTCATATGCAGATAGTTGTGTCACAATAATTAGCTAACCAAAGTGCTGATACTTATCCAATTAACTGACTTCAAAAGTTTTCTACTCCAGTTGAGCGACTCCTATTTTTATTTACATTTTAGCTGTTTACAATTGAATAGAACTTACTCATTACATGGTCATCCTCAAAGAGAAAAAGTAATGGCCAACATTGACATATATATATAATTCCTTATCACCTCATTAATTCAAATCCAGCCTGCAGTAGTGACATGAAGTCTCGATTCCTTTCTGATCTGCACATGCTCGTCACATTCCAGTTGTTTAACTCGTTCATGGTTGGCAGCATGGGTTTTTAGCTTAATTTATGCAATCATTTAACTATAACATTGACAAGTTGTACAGAAGTACTTCACCAGCAAATCTAAGTTTAATACCTTCACACTTTCCCATTTGTTTTCGAATTCATACATTCGTAACTTCTCCCTCTTTGTATCTCATTATTCCAAGTCCCAAATTCAAATTATACCTCCATGAAGATACTCAGGTGAGACCCCAACCATGTCAACATTAATGCCAAAGAACAGTTTTTGACAAAGTTACTGACAAACATCTTTATTAATGACTTAGATGAAGGTTTAGAAGGCATGGTCATCAAGTTTGCAGATGACACCAAATTGGGAGGGATAGCCAATATCCCAGAAGACAGGAGAAGAATTCAAAATGATCTGAACAGATTAGAGAGATGGGCCAAAACTAACAAAATGAAGTTCAACAGAGAGATACTCCACTTAGGCAGGAAAAAATGAAATGCAAAGATACAGAACTGGGGACACTTGGTTCGTGAGCAGTACATGTGAAAAAGATCTTGGAGTCCTCATGGACAACAAGTTAAACATGAGCCAATAGTTCCATGCAGCGGCTAAAAACAACCAATGGGATGTTGGCCTGCATAAATATGAGTCTAATGTCTAGATCCAGGGAAGTCAGACCACACCTGGAATACTGTGACCAGTTCTGGACACCACAATTGAAGAGAGATATTGACAAGCTGGAATGTGTCCAGAGGAGGGCGACTCAAATGATCAAGGGTCTGGAGAACAAGCCCTTATGAGGAGCGGCTCAAAGAGTTGGGCATGTTTAGCCTGAAGAAGAGAAGGCTGAGAGGAGACATGATAGCCATGTATAAATAAATTAGAGGAAGTCATAGGGAGGAGGGAGCAAGCTTGTCTTCTGCTGCCCTGGAGACTAGGATGTGGAGCAATGACTTCAAATTACAAGAAAGGAGATTCCACCTGAACATTAGGAAGAACTTCCTAACTGTGAGAGATGTTCAGCAGTGGAACTCTCTGCCCTGGAGTGTGGTGGAGGCTCCTTCTTTGGAGGCTTTTAAAAGGATGGCCATCTCGGGGGTGCTTTGGATGCTATTTTTCTGCTTGGCAGGGGGTTGGATTGGATGGCCCACAACAGGCCCGTAGCCAGGATTTCGTTTCGGGGGGGGGGGGCGGTTTTTTTAGGGGGGGTTTGGGGGGGGGTGAGTTTCGGGGGGGGGGCTGAGTCTGAGTGAAAGAGGGGCTAGCCTAGCAAACCTTTTGTATCATTACCCCAATACCCCCATGCATATGGGATATATTGAGTATGGTGATCAGATCATGATATGAATAAACATAACAGTTTAAATAATGCACCAGTAAGGCCTTTTCGCGAACCACCATGAGAATTTGGGGGGGGGGGGGCTGAAGCCCCCCCAGCCCCCCCCCCCGGCTCTTCCAAGTCTGATTCTATGAAACTTCCCAACTGTTAAATTGCACATGTTGCTAGGTGTTAACTGGATATTCATTGGCGTTTTTAACCAATTAATGATCACCGTAGGGCATGTGGGTAAGGTGTGGTTACCAAGATGATGACATGTTGCCAAAACAATAGGTAGGCTTTTCATTTAGTGTGAGTCTTTAGTAATCCAGAAACAATGTCAAGATGACATTCATGGGACTATAAAATAACTATGGATGATAATGAAAGAGGATGTTGAAGACTACTACAGAAGACTGTTGTATCCTTTCAAAATTTAAGAAAGTCAATGAGAGCAAAACTATTTCTAAAAATGTTTTGTGTGAGCATGAGTGCTTTGAAAAAAAATTGAAATATGTGGATTAGCTTCTGGCATGGGGAGTGTATAACAAATACACCTTTATTAGCTTTTTGACTGGAATGGACACAGAAGTTGCTAGTGGAATATCCTCTAATGACACAGGAACTCGGATTGAATTATTGTTGTGATCCTGATTCTGGCTTTAGCTGGTGAAACTAATCTTCTGAATGCAGAGGGAATGTTTAAACACTGAGGGGTAGAAATTAGAGCCACATTGAATAGTTTATTAAAAGATTGGAGTATAAATGAGTGAAAAAGAGAAAATGTTTGGTAATTACATTCACTGCCCCCTTTAGAATCGATTCTAAAACTATCTGGTGAGGCTAAAGGAATCTACTGTCTCAGTTTCTGCTATTGAAAGAACTTAGAAAATGTCAAAGGAAGTAGAAGAAAGGTAGTACAGTCCTCCTCTTTTCACAGAAGAACGAGATCTCCTAGATAAGAAAACAAAAGCTTCAGATTAGTTTTTGCTAATACCTGGCATTTAAGACTGATTTGGAAAATATTGTTTGCAAACGAAAAATGATACAGGCACTCTGGAGTAAATATCAGCAGAGGACTGAGAAATATAATTTATTCTGTACACTCAGAGGAGCCCCCAGTGGTGCAGTGGGTTAAGGCGCTGAGGTGCTGAACTTGCTGATCAAAAGATCAGCGGTTTGAATCCGGGGAGCGGTTTGAGCTCCTGCTGTTAGGCCCAGCTTCTGCCAACCTAGCAGTTCAAAACATGTAAATGTGAGTAGATCAATAGGTACCACTCCGGCGGGAAGATAATGGCTCTCCATGCAGTCATGCTGGCCACATGAGCTTGGAGGTGTCTACAGGCAACGCCGGCTCTTTGGCTTAGAAATGGAGATGAATACCAACCCCCTGAGTCGGACACGACTGGACTTAATTTCAGGGGAAAACCTTTACTTTACCTATGCATTCATGTATAGTTCCTTGATTGTTTTCTAAAGTCTCAAATTGCTGAACAATGTTGAATGACTTCTTGAAAGACATCATTGGAACTCTGTTGCAGAGCAAGTGATTTTAAGTTAATACAGTTTCTAGATTATCTTGATGATGAAGTTATTGTGTGACTTTAAATCATTTCTGAAAATATTTACAAAATGAACCTGCAGTGGCATCTCTCTCCAGAGAGACTAGCCGGGATGTATAATTGCACTGACAAATATTGGAAATGTGGGAAAGATATGGCACATTTTACCACACGTGGTGGACTTGCAACAAAGTAAACAACTACTGGAAACAGATTTATGTATACCTCAGAAAGATGTTAAACACAAATTTCAAAATGTCACTACTAGTGTACCTTTTGAATATGCCCGATGAAGAACTAGAAAGGACGTTTGGAAAAAGTGTGTCTTACATGACAGTGGCAGCTTGAATAGTATATGCTAGATATTGGAAAACCTCCCTTAGAAGAATGGAAAAAACATATTACAGATTTGCTGATAATGGATAAAATAACTGTACTATTAAAAGGAGAACTTTATTAAGGAATGGCAACCAACGATTCAACATCTCAATGTAAAATTAAACTAAAAATGTATATAGAGGATCCTATAAGACTTTAGACAAGGAAGAAGCGAATGTTAAGTAAGAGTTTATGATACGTTTTTGTGTACTATTTATATAGAATACTGTGACCCCTTAAAGAAAATATATCATCTGAGAAATAGGTTCTTGTGGGTTTTTTCAGCCTATAGAGCCATGGCTCTATAGCCCGAAAAAACCCACAAGAACCTAGTGATTCCAGCCATGAAAGCCTTCGACAATACATTTGAGAAATGATTATGGAGCACTATTAGCTGGACAGTATTGCAATGTATGCAACAAACACAAGTGTATGTCCATTTGAATAAATAAATCTTTTAAAAACCCAAGAATTTGTGATATTTCACCTTTCTCTGAGATCTTTATTTTTCCAATTACAGGAGATTCAGTCACTGCTCATTAACTGGAAAGGCCCAGACTTAACGACGTACGGGGAGTTAGTTCTAGAGGGCACCTTTCGTGTCCATCGTGTCAAGAATGAGAGAACATTCTTCTTGTTTGACAAGATGTTGCTGATAACAAAGAAGCGGGGTGATCACTATATATACAAAAGCCACATTCCAGTAAGTACATCTAAGGAAATGGTTGTTTCTGTGCAATCTGTCTGTTTTTGGTCTGTTTGTTTTGGATTTTTGGGAGGTGAGAACAGGGTTGGTGGTATCTCAGGTATCAGTCTAAGACGGAAGAGATGAAAAGGAAGTGCATGCTTTGCTGAGTGATGTTTCAACAGTATGAAAAGATATGATGTATGTGAATGGATGACCCAGTTCAGAGGGCCTCAAGCCAAACTTGCCTGTGTGGCTCTTCCCCACTGTGGCCTCCTCCCTTGCAGCAGGGTTCTGTGAATAACCTAATAGGAGAGAAGAATTGAAAGCAACCTTTTTCAAAAGGGACACATATAACTTAAAGTAATCTAATGTGAATATGTTACACTTCAAATAGTGATAACTACCTAACTACATAACGAGGAATATTCTTCCTCTTGTTTCTCAGCAGTGTAATTTGCTTTGATTGTTGCCTGCACAAATAAAGTGGCGATAACATTTCCAGACAGATTTTCAATAAGTATAAAAATGACAGGAGTGATTTGTCTACAGTTCAAGGACTGACCCCCTCCACAGACACACACAATCATGTGGGCACTATTTATTTATTTATTTATTTATTTATTTATTTATTTATTTACAGTATTTATATTCTGCCCTTCTCACCCCAAAGGGGACTCAAAGCAGATCACAAAACCATATACGGCTGTTATACACTGACAAGACAGACAACTGTACATAGATAGAGGTATATATATAGACTTTCCCATCTTCAGCAACTTGGAGGCTGTGCTTGGTTCTAGCCACTGGGTGTATGTGTGTGTGTGTGTGCGTGCTGTCGCTCAACTTTCCCTGCCAAAGAGTTTATTTTTGTTCTGCAACTTCCTCCTTGATCGAATTGCTGGCATTTTTCTGGCATTTCCTTATGGCTGTTTTAAATACCTCCTTGCTTAAGCAGTACCTATTTATCTACTCACATTGCTGTTTTCGAAACTGTTAGGTAGGCAGAAGCTGTGCTAAAGACCAGGAGCTCACCCTGACCTGGGTGTTGAATTGTCAACCTTTCGGTTGGCAAGATTTACTACAGCTGACGGTTAACCTGCTGTTCTAAAGCCTGGCCTGTTGGATTAGGTATCAATTGCAGTGGCGTTTTCTGATCTCCAGAACTTGATACAGAGCAGACTCTTTTATGCTCTCAATTGTGTCCCAGTCAATTCCCTCTTACTTTTGCTCTCACCAAGCTCCCATTTCTCCTTTTCTACTTGAGAACTATTCAAAAGCTTCTATATTGCTCTATATATGTAGCCTATTCCTACCCAAAAAGCACAGGAACAGATCACAACATAATTTTATAAACCTTAAAATACATTCCCTCATCACAGATCATTTTTGGCCATCAGAAGATAACTATAGTAAAAAAAAAAAACGCCATATCTTAGCACTACTTTCAGATGTCCTTCAGAGAACAGGGCACCTGCTGCCAGGGTTGCCCCTCAGTCCTTGTTGCTGTTGCCACTGAAGTTTGATAGTGTGTCTCCTGCTTCCAGTGCTCCTCCCTGATGCTGATTGAGAGCACCCGAGACTCGTTGTGCTTCACGGTCACCCACTACAAGCACCGCAAGCAGCAGTACAATATCCAGGTGAGGAAATGAGCCATTGGCAGAGTAATGGGTGGGTGATCAAAGCTGCAGACAAATTTAAACGGGTGGAAAAGCTCACGCTAAAGCTATTTTGGAGGAAGGGTGGCTGGCCAGACTGCTTGTGCTGGAAGAAGGCAAGTGCTGAATGGGAATAAGAAGGCTTGGAGGAGAGGAACAAAGTGCGTTTCAGTGTGGCAAAAGCAATATTCAGGTATCTGTGATGGGAAGAAAGGGACATGAGGCAGGGAATTAAGGTCAGTTTGGTTGAAGGACCAAGTGTCATTCGCATATGGAAGATGTCTGATGTGAAGAATGCCCAGTAGGGACTGAAGCTCTTTAATGCTAGAGAAGTTGGGAGCTATAGTGTGTACATTTCAGTGACAGCAAATGATGCGACTCAAAGTAATAATTATTAGTATTTATTTCCTTTCTTTATACTCTGCCTTCTTCCCTGAGGGGACTCAAGATGGCTAACAGTCACACACTTTGAAACAAAGCAAATACCAAAAAAATAAACAAACAATTAAACAAATCAGCCCAAAAAATCCCACCCACAACCTCACCCAGCAACGTGCCCCTAAGTTATGTCATGTTCATATAAGTCCCAACCTTTCAAATTCAAGGAGTGTACATTTTTGTTGCCAGGCTAAATCAGGGGAAGAGAAGCGCGTCTGGACTCACCATATCAAGCGTTTGATCCTGGAAAATCACCATGCCATCATCCCTCAGAAAGTAAGTGGAGCCCCTTCTCCTCTTCTATATGTCTACTGGATGGGGCCAGAAACCTCTTATGGTGTTTTGCTGTTCTTTATAGCAGGGGTTATCAGTTTATGACCTTGCAGAGGTTATTTGATTGCTGCTTCTATCAGCTCTAACATTTACTATGCTGATTGAGGCTGCTGGGTGCTATAGTCCAGCATCTTGAGGGTCACACTTTCTTCAGTCTTGGACTAACGTTACATTATATCCACCTTCTAGGCATTGTCTGTATGCCTGTGCCTTTAAGTTCCCTGTTGATTCATGGTGACTTCATGAAATTCATAGGGTTTTCTTAGGCAAGGAATACTCAGAGGTGGTTATACCAGTTTTTTCCCTCTTAAATATAGGCTACAGCACCTGGTATTGACTGGTGGTCTCCCATCCAAGGACTAACCAGAGCTGATTTATACTTAGTTTCCAGTAATAGACAGGATCTGGTGCCTTTGGGGTATATGTCTGTTTCTAGGTCATGCCTAGGAACATGCCCATGCCTGTGAGTCTGTTTGGCTGTGTTTATTGAATCTCCCAAAGACTGTTTGTGCTCTGCTATGGAGGACTAAAAACTCCCATAATAATGAGTCTGATAACTTGGGTGTTTGGGCTTTTATCTAGTTGTTTTATCTGACTGAGAAAAGGATGAATGGTTTAGAAAGGTTGCAAAGATAAAGAAGGTTGGGGAAAACATATCTGCCTTCCCTCTTCATTGTCTCTTATTTGGTGAGGAGCCGCGGTTGTTCAGTGGGTTTCCAGCTAAACTGTTAACCTGAAGGTCGGCAGTTTGAATCTGTGAGATGGGGTGAGCTTCCATCTGTCAGCTCCAGCTTCCCATGCCATGCGGGGACATGAGAGAAGCCTCCCACAGGATGATAATACATCTGGGCGTCCCTGGGCAACATCCCTGCAGACAGCCAATTCTCTCACACGAGAAACAACTTGCAGTTTCTCAAGTCACTTCTGACACGTTTAAAAAATGGTGAGGAAACAGGAATAGGAATTTCCCTGTTTTCCTAAGCTCTTAGTTCAGAGCTTTCATTTTTTCTTATACTGAGTGTTAATATTATTACTTTTTTCTTTCCAGGCCAAGCAAGCCATCCTGGAAATGGATTCATATTGTAAGTTTCCACTCTTCCTTTCTCAAAAGTCTGTTTCCTGCATCCTTCTTCCTGTCTGCTCCGTCATCGACAGATTACTCCAGTAGATATGGTGAAATATTCCCACTTGAGGCTAAGAATGTACTCTGCCTCCTCGGGACAGGTTCTGTCACCTGGTTTGGGAAATTTTCATGGTCATGTAAGCAAGAATAAGCACAATGAAATGTACAGTCCCTTCTCAAAGAGCTCAGTCTTGTAGAACCAACCCTACTGTTAGTCAGAGCGAGGCAAATGTTTTAAGCAACAGTTTTAGATTGTTGTGAAAAGACAGTAAATATTTATGGGGTTTTTTTTCTGTGAAGAGTAGAGGAGAGTTGCTTATGATACTTTCTGCCTCCAATGACAAAACTATTTTGTGAAAGAGGGCACTATGTACCTTGACTTTGGGAGCATGTGTGTCAGAGAGATGTAGTGATTGATTTCCCCCCCCCCTCTCTTGAAACCTTAAAAGAGATGGGAGTTAGAGTACCTCAGACCTCGTTCTTAACTATTAAGAAATGCAGTTATTTCTTATTAATGTAAATAAACGTATTCTGATTTTTAAGAATGGCCTCGATATTTTTGCCTGCCTAAGCTTTACATTCATGCTCTGCATGCATTGAGCTCATGCTCAACTTTAAGTGTCCTGTTTGTATTTTGGATACTATGCTATAGAGTAACAACAAAGAAGGTGTTAATCTTGTTCAATTAGAGGAGACAGAGAACTGTCTCAAGACATTCTGCTACCCAAGCAGAGCTGCCTACAGAGCTTGTGGTCTAGTTAGACCAGTTGGTAGCTTATTCCCACTCTCCTGCCTCCTCCTTTCAGATCCTGCTCGATACAAATACAGCCCAGAGCGGTTGAAGAAGTCCTGGTCATGCCAACCTCCAGAAGACATTCCTCAACAGGCCCGGCAGGGGCGCCGCCAGTCAGGTAAAGTGGAAGTGGGCTGGAAATGTCCGTATTCTAGTTAGGAACATGCTTCGTAATCATAATCATGGCATATCTCATGTCAGTTGTTGTTTATGGCTGTTCGTTGAGCAGCTTCCTTTAAGGATAATGATATCCAGATGATTCCCTGAAGGCTTTCAACTACAATTGTGGTATTTTCACTCATGCCTCATCCAACCTGTCTTGTTTCTTGACAAAATTGTTGTTCTCTTGCATATTTTACCCTGAAGTACTGAGCCAATACATTGTAGTGATTTGAGAGTCAGACTCTGACCATGGAGACCAGTGTGTGACCAGCCATGCTAACCCTGGCCAAGTCACACTCTCCCAACCTTAGATGAAGGGAATGGCAAACCCCTTCTGAACAAATCTTGCTGTGGAAACCCCCAGATAGGTTCACCTTATGGTCATCGTAAGGTGGAAATGACGCGAGTCCACACAACAACAAGTACTGTACAGCTGACAGGTGTTCAGATCTGCTCTGCCAAGAGGCCTAATGACCTCTGGCACAGTTGACAGAGGATGAGCGAACAGAGCATGGTAATTTATTTAGGATAGTTTTGGGGAAAATTTTGCTTCAGTGTCATTATGAACTTGTCACCTCAACTTCAGAAGCAGATAACTCAGCACATAAAATAATAGAAGACTGAAAGTTGGGTCCTAAGTAAAGGAACAGGGCATCACGGGAAAAGGTCCGGGAACTGTGTGTGTCTAACCCAAGCATGGGCAAACTTTGCCCCTCCAGGTGTTTTGGACTTCAACTCCCACAATTCATAACAGCCTACTGGCAAGAATTGTGGGAGTTGAAGTCCAAAACACCTGGAGGGCCAAAGTTTGCCCATGCCTGGTCTAAGCTAAGGCTGTGATAATTGGAAAGAGCCTTTGGGATTGTCAGTACTGCGTCTTGACTTGCTCAAAACAGAGCTGTATCATTGCACAAGGTCTGAAAGACTGCTCCATAGTCGAGATGAAAGGCCCTGACTACAGTATTTGCACGTTATCGCCATGTCATAGAGTTGGTGCTACCTACAAATATCTTACTAGGATTTTGAAGTAAATGTATGCAATTTAGGCTCCTATAATATCTAATAATAATACTGTTCTTACTATTAATATTTTATTGCTGTTCTTTTCATCATCATCACCATCTCATTCTTTTACCAGCCTGGGACTGGAGTTACTTTGCAAATGTCAAATCAACTAAAAATTTACATCATACGAAAGTTAAAAATAGACTAGCAATAAAATGAAAGGAAGTCAGAACAGCACAAAAAGAACATCATAGCATATGGGAGGCCCTTTCCTCTGAGCAGTCAGACCAATATTTGGCTACAGTGTATATCAGTGTTTCTCAACTTGGGGGGAGGGTCGCGAGGGGATATCAGATGGGTCACCAAAGACCATAAGAAAACACAGTATTTTCTGTTAGTCATGAGGGTTCTGTGTGTGAAGTCTGGCCCAATTCTATCATTGGTGAGGTTCAGAATGCTCTTTGTAGGTGAACTATAAATCCCAACAACTACAACTCCCAAATGTCATGGTCGATTTTCCCCAATCTCCACCAGTGTTCACATTTGTGCATATTGAGTATTCATGCCAAGTTTGGTCTAGATCCATCATTGTTTGAGTCCACAGTGCTGTCTGGCTACAGGTGAACTACAACTCCAAAACCCAAAGTCAATGCCCACCAAAACCTTCCAGTATTTTCTATTGGTCAAGGGAGTCCTGTGTGTCAAATTTGGTTCAGTTCCAACATTGGTGGAGTTCAACATGTTCTTTGATTGTAGGCTAACTATAAATCCTAGGAAACGACAACTCCCAAAGGACAAAAATCAACCCCCCCCTCAACCCTTCCAGTATTCAGATGTGGGTGTATCAGGTATTTGTGCCATATTTGGTCTAGTGAATGAAAGTACATCCTGCATATTAGATATTTACATTACAATTCATAACAGTAGCAAAATTACAGTTATAAAGTAGCAACAAAAATAATTTTATGGTTGGGGGTCAGCATGACATGAAGAACTGTATTAAGGGGTCATGGCTTTAGGAAGGTTGAGAAACACTGGTGTATATGAAATATGTTGAATAGAGAGCAGAGGCCTTTGTGGCAATACTGGATCAATTTCCCCTGGGAGATGGCAAATGTTAGTGCAGAGTTAACCTGGAAATTACATTCCATAACTATTTGGTGGAAGTAGCTAAAAAAACCGCTTTGGCCCAGCAACCTCTAGCTGGATATCTCTTGTAAAGAGAGTGGCTGAACCACTGAAAGATTTGTGAGTTTGCTTCTGGTTGTGATCACTCATTTATTCTTCGTGTCCTCTGCAAAATCCACACCTATGGGTTTTCCCTCGCGCATGCGCAGAAATCCGGAACATTCTAAAGTTTAATGAATAAAAAATGATTATTCTAAGCTCCGCCCACCTCCCCGCCCCCTCGGTATATATGCCGTCGCATGCGGCTGAGAGCTAGTTCCTTTTTCCGCGCTAATCCGGCAGCATCTCGGAACGTTCTCTCTCTATATACTACTGGCTTTTGACCAAGGACTGCCTTCTGACCCGTCTTCTCCATTCCTGACTTGGACCGGCTGACTACTCTTATTGCAGGCTAGCATGTCTTCTCCTTATTTCAAAAACTGCTCGGCCTGCGGGGCTACTCTGCCCGAGGCCGATAAACACTCTAGATGTTTACTTTGTCTTGGGGAGGCCCACAATCCCCAATCATGTGAGATATGTCTGAGCTTTACATCTAGAGCCCGCAAGGGCAGAGATTCAAGATTAAAAGCTTTACTTTATGAGCGTGCCCTGGCTCCCCAGGCTCCTCCAGCCCCCTCCTATTCCTCCCCAGCCCAAGAGCCCCCTCAGCCTCCCTCTCCATGTGTTGGAGATAGGCGAGATTCGGGCCAGGCGAACGCTTCCTCAACGGAGCCGCCAAGAAAAAAATCCAAGCCCTCAAAACAAACCACGAGGGCGACAAAAACGAAAGAAAAAAATTCAAAACAAAAAAAGGGACGGCAACTCACTGGCGAACAGCCCTTGAGTCCCCCTATACTGGAACCGATGACTCACCTCTCCGGTTCTGCCCTCCAGCTCCAAGATCCTCTCCCGACCATGCTCCATATGGAAGACCCTTCCTATCTTCCCCCTTTGGAGCTCCTGGATCCGCAACTGGATCTGCAGGCTCAGGCCTCGACGGAGCTTTCCCCTCCGCCCCTCCCTCCCTCCCAAGCCTCTCCTCCTCCTTCCCCCAGCCCACCAGATTCCCCGGCACCGGAGGAAACTCCTCCCCCAGGACGACAAACCTCCGCGGCGCAAACCTCGCGCTGCCGCCAGCTTTCTCCTTCCCCTCAGCCCCCTCCTAACCCCCCCCTTCCAAAAGAGCTAGATTGCACCCTGCGGAGCAATATCACCCCTATAGTCCCCAGGACTACCCTTACCATCTTTACCCTCCCCCACCACCATATCCTATGTATCCCTTCTACTACCCACCCACCCCCAATCCTAAGGACTACAATGCCCATTATCCACCCCACTTTGCCTACCCACAACCCCCTCATGTCCCCCCAACAGCCACACTCTCTCATCCTCCTGATGAACAGCTTCAACCTGACCCTCCTCAACCCCTCCAGGACCCACTCATTCAGACTCAACAAGAAGCTGAGACAGTGGACCTTGAATCCACTGATGACACCCCAGTTATCCATGACCACCTTCCAGACTCTGACCCCTCTCCTAAGAATTTAGAAGAGTTTAAAAAATTCTCTGCCCTTCTGATAAGACTCTCCAAGGCCCTAAACCTTGCTACACCTGAACCCACAGATACTGTGGTAGATCCATGTTTCACTTCTACTGAACAACAACAACCCGCTTCCACTGTGTTGCCCACTTTACCCTTCTTACTAAAAGTTCTAAAAAATACAGGAGTGGCCCCGGCTATGATCCCGGCAACTCCCAAAAGGGCAGAAAATTTATACCGTATTGACTTATCCTCAGCTTCATGGCTATCTAAAATGCCTAAGGCAAATTCTATTGTGACTGATGCTCAACCAAAACCTGTACAAACAAATCAAACTTCCCCCTCTGACAAAGAGGGAAGGAAACTTGATTCTATGGCCAAAAATTTTTACTCCTCAGCGTGTCTATTCGCACGCATGGCTCATTATGGAGTATACATGAGTGTATACCAAACCTACCTATGGAACAAAATATCACCCTATCTAGAGTTGCTACCACCAGCCGACCAGCCACTGGCTCTGGCCTTTAAGCAAGAGGCTCTCCTTCTGTCATCATTGCAAAAGGACCTTGCAAGAAACACAGCCGATGCTTCTGGCAAACTCATTGCAGGCTCCGTGGCCCTTCGCCGCCATGCCTGGCTGAGGGCTGTTATCCTCTCTCAATCACAACGCACTCTCATTGAAAACCTTCCTATGGACGAGGCAGGACTGTTCAACCCTGAAACTGATTCACAACTTGAACATTCCCATAAAATGAAACAGACGGTCTTCAAATATGACCAACAACCTTACTCTCATCAACGTCAACGATGGGGCTCATACTACTACCGTCCTCACTACTACAACAGGCCTTATAATACCTCCTTCTACAGAGGACGCCAAAGATCTTACACCCAGTCTACGACCCCGAGACGTCCCCAACTCCCCTTCAGAGGTCAGTACCGTGGCTCCAGGCCCTCCAACAACTCTAAACGTTGTTTTTAGCACACCACTAACCACTGTCAACCACACTTCCACACATACATTATCACTTACATACCTCAACAGACTACAGTCTTTTCTTCCGGCATGGCAATCTATCACTACAGATGCCTGGGTCCTTGACATAGTTGAAAGGGGTTATGCAATAGAATTTGACACCTATCCACCCGTTGGGAGGGTTCTCCTCACACAACCCTCCCAAGAGATCTGGGAAGAAATACATTCTCTCCTTCAAAAGGGCACCATTTCTTCTAACCCCACACACAATGCTAACACCTGCTTCTTTTCTCGATATTTCTTAGTAGACAAGAGAGATGGAGGGCTACGCCCCATCCTGGACCTTCGCAGGCTTAACACCTTCATCACACCACGCAAGTTCCGCATGGTTACACTTCCTAACATCCTACCCTTCATTCCACCGGGAGCGTGGCTAGCGACGGTGGACCTGCGGGACACCTACTTCCACATCTCAATTAGAGAATCTCATCGCAGATTCCTAACCTTTGCAGTGCACAACAACCACTTCTCGTTCACTTCTCTCCCGTTTGGTTTATCCACCGCACCCAGGGTATTCACAAAATGCATGTCAGTCATAGCGGCACACCTCCGCCAGCAAAACATCGTGGTTTTTCAGTACCTGGATGACTGGTTATTTTGTTCTCCTTCAAAAACGCAACTGTACAACGACATTCATTACACCTTGTCTCTCTTACAGGACTTGGGTCTGGTAGTAAACCAAGAAAAATCCCATCTCACTCCGACTCAACGAATCCAGTTCATAGGAGCCGTCATAGACTCCTCTCTCCAGAAGGCCTTCCTCCCGGACGACCACTTCATCAATCTTCGACGAGCAATCCTAAGCCTCCAACACTCCCGCAGAACTTCGGCCTGGGCTATCCAGTCTATCCTTGGACACATGTCGTCTACCACAAGTGTAACCCCATTTGCCCGCCTAAAAATGCGGCCACTACAAAGATGGTTCATCAAATCATTCGACCCCCTGCGGGAACCTCAATCCCGCATCCTATACCCACCTCACTCCGTCCTCCACTCCCTCTCATGGTGGACAAAGCAGTGCAATGTTCAATCAGGGATGCCTTTCACCCAACCTCACCCATCCATGTCCCTCACGACAGACGCCTCCAACTCGGGTTGGGGAGCGCATCTCAAAGGGTTCAAAGTAAGCGGCCATTGGTCCCCTCGGGACCGCAAGTTCCACATCAACACACTCAAGATGATGGCGGTAGAAAAGGCCCTCAGAGCCTTTGTCCGCATTGTCTTGAACCACAAAGTACAAATTGTGACAGACAACACTGCAGTCAAATACTATATCAACAAGCAAGGGGGAACACGTTCCCAAACACTATTGTCCATATCGACACGGATTTGGGAATGGTGCATTCGGCGGAATGTCCTTCTCACGGCTATCCACCTACCAGGCCAAGACAACACACTAGCGGACTCTCTGAGCAGGTCCTCCAAAAACAATCACGAATGGCGACTTCACCACACACAATTCAGAGCCCTCACCCACAAATGGGGCATTCCCAGGATAGACATGTTCGCGTCCCCTGCGAACTCGCATTGCCCTTTCTACTGCGCAAGGCTCCGCCCTCGCGCATTCCCAGGTTGTCTCGGAGACGCCTTCCTATTCCAGTGGTCCCCAGGCCTACTCTATCTCTTCCCACCCCTTCCTCTCCTATCCCCTGTCATAGCCAAAATAATTCAGGACAAGACAGATTGCATCTTAGTCACCCCCTGGTGGCCGCGCCAACATTGGTTTGCCCCTCTCCTCCAGATCTCCAACAAAGAATTCCTCCGCCTCGAGTTGACTCCAGACCTTCTCTCTCTGGAGAACGGCCTAGTCCTCCATCCAGACCTCCGCTCCCTCTCCCTGACGGCGTGGAGGATCAGACCACAATGAACCTATCGGAGGAAGTTTCACGAATAATTTTAGCCGCCCATAAACCGACCACAAAGAGGTCATATCTATATAAGTGGTCATCATTCGAAAAATTTACACGAACAGTGGGATACACACCCTTCTCAGCACCAATTCCTGTGGTTTTGGACTTCCTGGTGCTACTTTCCGAAAAAAATTTCTCCCTCTCCTCAGTTAAGTGTTACATAGCAGCGATATCCTCCTATCGCAAAAAGTCCGGCTTGCCGTCCCTTTTTCAGGATCACCTGATTCAATTGTTTCTCAAGGGCTATAAAAATGTTCACCCTCCTACATCCCTTCCTTCCCCTCAGTGGAGCCTAGAACTAGTATTGTCACAATTGTCAAAACCTCCCTTTGAACCCATGGCCTCTAATGACATTTCCCACTTGTCCTGGAAAACGGCATTCCTTGTGGCCGTTACGTCTGCTAGACGATCGAGCGAGCTTACGGCCCTTCGCTCTGACCCTCCCTATGTTAGGTTCCATGATGACAAGGTGGTCCTCCGGACCGATGTTACGTTTTTACCCAAAGTTGTTTCGTATTTTCATATGTCGCAGGATATTATTCTACCAGCGTTTTTTCCTAACCCATCCTCCCCGTTGGAGGTAGCATTACACTCCCTCGATGTTAAGAGGGCTCTTTCCTTTTACCTTCATAGGACCTCCACTTATAGAAAATCCCCGAAGTTGTTTTTGAAATACAGAAAAGACATGCTAGGCCACCCTGTCTCCTCACAAGGGCTGGCCTCGTGGATTGTTTCAACAATCCGTCTAGCTTACCAATTGGCAAACAAAGAACCTCCTTCTCATATTGTGGCCCACTCAACACGTTCGGTGTCCACTTCTCAGGCCTTTCTTCGTGGAGTCCCGTTGGACCAAATCTGTAGAGCAGCTACGTGGTCTACTCCATCCACGTTTGCTTCACACTACAAATTGGACATACAAGCAAAGAAAGACGCTGCGTTTGGCAGAGCTGTCCTTTTTTCCTGCGTGGCATGACCCACCTCCAGGTCAGTAGCTTGCTATTCACCAATAGGTGTGGATTTCGCAGAGGACACGAAGAATAAATATAGGTTGCTTACCTGTAACCGTATTTCTTCGAGTGTCCATCTGCGAAATTCACACAACCCGCCCGTCCTCCCCTCTGTCATGCTATAGACCTAGCTGCGATTAGCGCTGGGGAACTAGCTCTCAGCCGCATGCGACGGCATATATACCGAGGGGGCGGGGAGGTGGGCGGAGCTTAGAATAATCATTTTTTATTCATTAAACTTTAGAATGTTCCGGATTTCTGCGCATGCGCGAGGGAAAACCCATAGGTGTGAATTTCGCAGATGGACACTCGAAGACATACGGTTACAGGTAAGCAACCTATATATCTTGGGGTAAACATATAATTCTTAGTTGCCCCCTTTCCCACCCTGCACCTATTTCTATTAAAAGGCAAAAGGGTTTTTTTAAGCAGGGGGCGGGGGGAGTCAGTGCCAAAACCCTGTTTCTTGCTTATGAGTATGTATGGGGGCAGGTAGTCTTATCAGAGGAGGAGAAAGTGGTTGAAATCCTGGCAGCTTCCTTCTGATGGCTTACAACAGCAACACTGTATTGCCTCCCAGTGCTTTGGAGCACCACAGCATCACTGCAGTTACATGGCAGCCACAGGTTGCTCATGAGACAATAGTATCAGTAGCACTGGCTTGATACTGACACCAGCCCTGCTCCACTCTTTCTGTCGGAGAGATGCTCAAGTATGGTACAAGCTTCAGGAATGCTCAGTGATGTTGGATGGGAGAATGACTCTAATGGGTATTACTATCTTATGTCCTATCCCTAGAACCTTTCCATGGCAAAAACAGTTCCCAGAAGTTCCTAGAAGGATTCCACAGCTTTGCCATGACAAGGCTGAAAAGCCGCAGAAGATCGGGTGCGAGAGCTATGATGGTTCAGCATGGGGCTGCCTGCATTTTGGTGTGATGGGTTGGGATCTTGTGATGAGATGGCTTTTGAAAGTTACTGGGACAAAGCTAGTTCTGGGAAGGATTAGGAGGCAGGTGCTTGGCAGAACATTCCTCTCAGTCCTTGGCAAAATGCAGCAGGGGGGCTACTTCCTCTGAAAGTCTGTTATACCAGGCTCTCTGTATTCCAAATACCCACAAATTGGGAATCAGACCCAGAATCTGGCAATGTGAGAAGCCTTACTTATTGATATTGAGAAAATACGGGAGTCCAAAATCTTAGAAGTCCCAATGAGACCAAGCACATGTTGAAGAAGCCAGAAAGTAAAATGTTAGTCCCCTGCCCAAGTCCTTGGCTCCACATTGAGCAGTTTTCTGTCCCCTGGAACATGACCACATTTGATCTTTCCCTGACCACCACCTCCCCCACTCCTTTAGAAATGGTGATCTTCAGAGTGGAGTCTGAAGATTACCTCATTCTAATTGCAGGATGTGGGTTTGGGGAGCAGAATTAGGAATTTTAAGTTCATATTGTAAGTGTCATTTTATTCTACTCTCTTCCATTTTCCCCTGTATTAGGACTCAAGGCAGCTTACATATATATGGTTAAAACCAGTATGGGTGAAAACTATGCTTTTAGATAATATGTATATTATCTAAAAACAACTAAACAGTCTATAGGGTTAAAACTACTGTTGGCCCTCTATATCCATTCATTTGTGCTGGGAAATCTGAGCTGTTAGGCTCAAAAATAACCCTCTGTTTGGGTGATTCCACCATAAAAATAACAGAGTATCAGAAGTAGACTTCATAACCAGCAGAAAGTGTGGTAAGCTAGGATAAGTTTTCTCTCCATAGGATGACATAGGATTACAGAGTCAGAACTTTAGGTACAAAAATATTTATTAAAGTAGAAGAAATGCATTCTTGATAGAAAAGGTCTTGGAGCTAACTAGCATACTAAGGCTCATCTTCTAAGAAAGGTAAAAAGGGCAAAAAGTCAAAGAATCCATGCAGCTACATTTTGCCTAAAAAGAGAGGCAAAATGCATCTTCACTGAAAGGAAGAAAAGGCAGAAGGGAGCAGAAAAAATGGTGAATGGCCACATGACCAAACTCAAGGCAATAAAATACCTTTAAAAAGGGAGTTCCCTTACAGATATTCCATTGCTACATCTTCAAAGTGGGGAGGAGACAGTGGATAGTAGGAGGAGTGAATATAAAGCCCTTTTTGTAAACATGCATAGGAATTTGGAGGGAGGACTCCCTCACTCTAATCCTATCTCTAGTCTAACTACTCATTGAGGTCTGGAGACCTGATGACACAAGAGACTTGTGCAGTCCAGGGATGAAGCCCAACAATTTACAACAATATGACTTGAGCATCAATGGATTTAGGTATCCACTGGGGGTCCCCAGTGCATCCCAAGGGCTATTTAAAAACCGTTAAGCTTGGTTTAAAAGGTAGAATATAAACTAACATAACAGCACATTATTAAAAGCCTTTCTTGGTCACTTCCTAAAAGCCTGTCAGAGTAAAAAAAATTGCACTTGCTAGTGAAAGGGTAGCAGGGAGGAAGCCGTCCTAGCATCTTTAGGGAGAGGGTTTCAAAGTTTTGAAGCAGCCACCAAAGAAGGCCCTCCCACTTTTATACCTGACCATGAGGAGAGAACAATAGGAAGGGACAGTGAATGTTGTTGTTATTGTTATTATTTCAAAACAATTCCAATAATATTTTGGCCTCTTGGCTTATTCAGAGGCTTGAAAATTGAATTGTTGGTGTTCTCTGAGAGGCATGTTCTCCACAACCCAGGGCTGTTTGTTCTCCACTCGGGTGCTTCAGGTGTTGCCTTATGGAAGCGAAAAGGCTGTGGGCTAATGCTGGTGCTGTTTCCCCCTCCTGCCCACTTGCCAAGGAAAACAACTTGGGTGCTTTTGGGCTCTGAACCAGCTGCTGTATTTCTGTGACTGATCTTCCAAACTCTGTTTTTATTACAGAGCCAACAAAACAGATCCTCAAGCAACTAGGCAGCAAAGGTGAATAAATTTGTCCTTTTGCTCCTTCACTTCCAGCATAGGGGAGGACAATCTGAGCTGATTATGTTGGGCTGGTGAATCTGGATCTTGTTTTCCAAAGCCATAGTTTCCTCACGTTCTGGAGCAGCTCTGAGTACATGACACACCCTACATCAGTGATTCGCAGCCTGTGGGTCCCCAGTTGTTTTGGTCTACAACTCTCAGAAATTCCAGTCGGTTTACCAGATATTAGGTTTTCTGTGAGTTGAAGGCTAAAACATCTGGGGGCCCACAGGTTGAGAACCACTGCTCTACATACTAAGCAAGGCGGCTGAAGAATAAGGCAGATTTCCCTGATTTATTATGGTACAGTGGGGACAGAGGCCTCAGTGTGTTTACGTGAGAGAAAGTGGGTATTCCCCCTATTTTCACTGTTGGGCCTCCTCCTGTTGTGTCATGGATCCCTCAACAGATTTCTGGAATGCCAATCAGCATATAGAGAGCTCCAATCTGTTACCCGATCATTCCTTTATCAATTCCTTGTGTAGCTGATCTCCATTTTTCTCAAAGAGAATGAGATTCATTAATAACTAGAATGGCATCATGGAGTTTTTCCCAAATTGCTTGGAACTTTTGTGAAAAATACAACTGAAATGGAGGTTGGAGGCAGGGAGCATCAAATAACACTCATGAAGGAAGAATACATACTTGGTCAAAAAACTACAACCCAACTGTTTGCTTAACTGCTGCTTTTCTTCTTTGTGTTTCCATTTTACATGTGCGGCAAATCTGGCAATAGGACTAAAGGTAAGATCCAGAAAGTTTGGAAAGAATTCATGGAAGGAAACCAGTAACAGCCTTCCATGTAAGAAGGAAAAAAAAGTGATGGATAACTTGTAATCTTTCCCTTCCAAAATGCTTTCCTCTGTGTCTTGATATCCTCATTCCCACCCCTGCCTCGATGGCTGTAACTTCCCAAAGAGTGAGTAGGAAGTTCTCCACAATTCTGATGTTGGTGCTGCCTTTGCTTCCTAGTTGGTAGCAAAGACAGGTGAGGGCAAAAGCCCACCTCCCCATATTTCAGGGCCTTTCTAAAGGGAGCCCTTACTTGCCCCCACTCCAAATAGCATGCAGATAGTGATGGAGCCCTTTTGGAGTTTGGGGAACCCCCTCAGCCCCCTAACAGCCAGGAAGAGGAGGAGGCAGAGCTGCAGACCCTCCCCCAGGAATTTCCAGAGGAATTGGCAGAAAGTGATGGCAGCGAGAAGGAGACGGGGCCAGAGGAAGAAGAAGAGGAGGAGGAAGAAGAAGAGGAAGAGGAGGAGGAAGAGAGGCTGGTAGGAACGGAGCAGGTGGCAGACTTTGCAAGCTCCTTGATGGCAGTCCTCCACTGCTGGCACTATCGGGCCAACGCTTTGCTTTTCTCCTGGGGCAACACGGTGAGGTGCCTGTTCAGTCCCCCCATCACATCTCCTTTCTGCATGGCTTGGTGCATGGCTCCTGGCTTCCTTCTGTTCTCCAGCTGTTATCCCTCAGATCTTCCTCTTTGTTGACATGAACCAGGCCCTGCCCCTTACAAATAGGCTGTGGTGTGTGTAAATATCTGAAAAGAAGCAGACACATACACACACACCCCTGCTGTTTAACCTCTTAAACGGTTATACCTGACTGACTTGGAGCTTTGTGCATTCCCCATGGGCTAACATACTTTGTAACTTGATAACCAAAGATTGTAACCATATGTGTTCATGAATTCTTTGCCCTTTGCCGGGAACGTTCTGCACCTTTGCAGTTTAGCAGTGAGATGTTTAAGCACAATCTTTGGCAAGTTGTGTTGTCTCTGCTGTGGGACCTTCTTTGGTCCTACCTTGTATGCCTTGCAGATGCAAGCAGTTTATAACTACACTATTTCGCTGTTTGGACCAAATTATTGCAGGATAGCTAGTAACTCCATTTCTCATAGGACTTGAATTTTGCCTTAAAAAAGGACACCAACACTTATGTTTCCCAAGTATTAACAAAGCTGGTTGTTACATTGCTGTGTGACCAAATTAGAATATTGGATTTGTGCAGAAACCGTTGAAGATCTTTAAGGGGGGCAAGGCAATCTTTCTGCCTTTTAAAAAAAATATATAATGGGGTTATTAATGGTGATAAGCTACATTTCATGAGGATTGTTAGGTGGCTCAGAAAGCCAAATGCAAAAGCGAAGCTGTTGTCGTGTCAAGTTGGTCAAACAGAGCTTCTCTTTGGAAGAACATGTGATCAGTCTTTGAACAAGATTGTCTCTCTTTGGTTCAGGGCAAGCAGCACAAGGCACACGAAGGGCCCAAGCAATGCCAGTCTCCAGCCAGCAGTGAGAAAAACAGGGTCATGGAGACGGCCTCATCTGTCCCGAAGGTGAGTGCCTGGTTGGTTGCTGGGTAAAATGCTCCCTGTGTCCCTTCTGGTGCTTCTTGAACAGGGAACCTCTTGTCCCTTTTAGTCTTTAGAAGCCAGGGTGGTTTTGTTTTTAGAAGCCCACATCTAGGCCATTTCCATTGCTTGTTCTCAAAAATTTCCAAACTCGATACAGGATTGAACCAATATATTGTTCTGCCTAAGGTGAAGAATAAATTGGCTCCTGCATTATCTGTTCTGTGTATAGAAACCAGCTGGACTAGCACATTTTTCTTCCTTTCTTTCTGGGATACTCCACAGTTCAGTTTGGGGCAACCAGAACAGGTTGCGTGATATTCATAACTCTGGAACAGCCTGGAGACAAATCACCACTGGATCGTAGGATCTGCCATCTAGGGCAAATTCACATACTCCGCCTCATGGATGGCCTGGCCCTGTCATACATTTCCAGAAAGGAAAAGGTGAAAATTATCTTGCCTTCCAGATATGATTGGGCTGCAGGCTCATCAGCCTGCAGCCCAATGGGTAAGAATGCTGAGAGTTTTGTTCAGCAACATCTGAAGGCTGCAGGACTCCAGCTCTGCAAAAGACAAACCATATCAGCCCCAAACCATGCTGGATGCAAAATGATTCATGCTTGTATCTTTTGTTGAGTCAAATTAGGAGAAAGTACATTTACTGGCACAAAAGCTTGTACTTGAAAGTAATACATTGAGCCCTAGAACTGGAATGCATTAAAATAATACGGGTTGAACATCCCTTATCTGGAATGCCAAAAACCAAATACACATGGGTGGCTAAGAAAGTGACACCTTTTTCCTGATGGTTCAGTGCATACAAACTTGCTTCAAGCCCAAATATTATTAAAAAGTAATGTGTATAAAATTACTTTAAATGCTATGTGTATGAGGTGTGTATGAAACATAAATAAATGTCACATTTAGACTTCTCTAGACAGGGCCTTCTCAGTAGTGGCCCCTTGGGTATGGAATGCCCTCCCGAGTGAAATTCGATTAGCCCCCTACCTCCTGACCTTTAGGAAAAGGCTTTAAATGTGGATGTCCGACCAAGCATTCAATGAGTAATCAATAAGAAAAGATGAAATTGTGCAACAACAAACTGGACCGGCTACAAACTATGATATTGGATTGTGTGATTTTAAATCATTGTTTTTAAGGCTTTACTATATTTTAATGATTGTTTTAATGCTTATGATTTTATTATGTGGGTTTTTGGCATCTAATTGTTGCCTATATATGTAAGCTGCCTTGAGTCCCCTACGGGGTTGAGAAGGACAGGGTATAAATACAGTAAATAAATAAGTATTCCAAAATCTGGAAAAAAAATCGAAACACTTTGGGTCCAAGCATTTTGAATATGGGGAATATTCAATGTGTAGTGGTTTCCTTAGCTTCAATACTCACCTGTATAATCTGAATGTGCAATATGACTTGTTTTAGCATCTGGGATAATCAGATATGCAAGGGATTTCCTGCCTCCTCACTTTTTTTTTTTTGGCTTGTTCCCCAGGCTCGATCAGCCATGGAACTCAATAGGATGTTGGAGAGTTCTTCCTGCAAGGATGAGCACCCAGAAGAAATCAATTTGGACTCAGAACCGTGTGCTCTAAATTCTCTCCTGGCAGGTCAGCACGAGAACCAGGATCAGGGTTTGGATGGTCTGGAGCCCATGGATAATGTGGAAGAGCTAAAGCCTCTCAGCAGTGAAGAAGAGGATGAGGAGGAAGAGGATGGCCGCCCAACCCAGCCCAAAAGTATCCTCCCTTTCTCTGTGCTGGACCAAGCTAGCATCATTGCAGAGCGCTTTGCCAGCAGCCTCTCCCGCCGGAGCAGCCTGGCCCTCGAGGAAGGGAAGGGCTACCTGACTCCAACACAGGCCAGTCGGAGTAACAGTGTGCTGAGCCTAGAAGAGAGCGAAAAGGCTCCCTGCCGCCACAACAGCAGCACCAGCACCACTGCCATTGACTCTCAGGCCTCGGTGGAGCTCAGCAACTCCTGCAGCGGGAGAGCCTCGCCTGGGCTCATGGAGCCTGACCGGCCTTCTTTGTGCAGACGGAAGGAGTCCATGCTCTCCCAGCAAGACCGGCAGCTGCTGGACAAAATCAAGAACTACTATGTCTATGCAGAACATCAGGATGCCGGCTTCAGCGTCAGGCGGAGAGAGAGCCTCTCCTACATTCCCAAAGGGGTGGTCAGGAATTCTGTCTTCCGGATCAATAGCCTCCCACAGCCGGACCCTGACCAGGAGACACTGAAGAGAAAGCAGCCCGCCCCCTCGAGTAGCAGCAATGGAGCTGGACGGACAGCAGCCTGGGTGCTGTCAAATAGGCCTGCTGTCGGGTCACAAGCGTTACGCTCTGAGACAGTCTGTGATGACAGGCCTGCACCAATCTCCGAAGCAGAGTTCAAGCCATCTACCGAGATGATTAAAGTCTGGGAAGAGATGGAGAAGCAGAAGAGAGAGGAGGACCACTGGAATCGGAGGAGAGAGGAGGATGCGAGGCCAGGACAAGCAAATGGGCAGATGGCTGGTGGTGCCTCTGTACGACGTGGTGAGCCTTGTTTGCGAGACAGGCTCAGGAGGCAGGAGAATGGCCTGGACCTTCACGAGCCGCTTTTCATCCTGGAGGATGAAGATTTGGGGGCCATAACAGAGGAATCGGCTGTACCCTCCCCTGAGAGCAAGTCACCTGTAGAGCATGCCCTGCCCTCAAAATTGCCCTGGAAACTCATGCAAGAACTTGGGGGGTTTGAGCAAGATCAGGGTCTCTCTCGGTTGCACCCCCGTATCATGCAGCTAGCCCATCTGACAGAAGCAGAGCTGGCAGAAAAAGTGAAGAACAAAGTATACCAGCTGGCCCGGCAGTACAGCCTTCGCATCAAGGGCCACAAGCCCACAGCACATCGACGGCTTGCAGAAGTGGAGGAGGAGATGAAAGGCAATGCCTTGGCAGGTCAGCGGGAAGCAGATAAGAAAGCCAAGGGTATGTATGTATTGCCCAGAGAATGTCATGTTGTCACAGGCTATCCAGTGTTGTTCTTTTTATATTAATTACTAGCTGTCCCCTGCCACACATTACTGTGGCCCAGTCTGAGTATATGTGTTTAGTGTGTATATATATGTATATATATGTATATGTGTGTGTATGTTTGTGTTTATGTGTATATCTGTGTGTTAGTGTATATATGTGGTTTTGCGCATGCGCATGCACTGTAATGCTTTTTTGTTTTTTGGCTTTTTAAGTCTCTTTTGCTGTGTTTTTCAGCATTTTTATGAGTGCTGGTCACTCATTGGCCTGGTAGGTGTATTGTGTCCAAATTTGGTCTCAATTCGTCCAGTGATTTTTTAGTTATGGTAATCTCACAAACGAACATTACATATTTATTTATATAGATGGCAATGCCTAGAACCCAAAACTGATGACAGAGTTTGGTATGAAGACAGGGAAAGCAGATGACTTCCTATTCTGGTTTATATTTTAGATCAATGAATTGCCCTCTTATTGTTGTCATTCAAAGATAACAGCCTGTGAGAGAAATAAAGACAGACATAAAACAATTCTAAAAGAAAATATACACATGTTTTCAGAGACCAAAATACTGAATGCTCTTTGTAGAAATAACGGTAGTTTTGTTTTGCTTTGGGGTGTTTATAATCTGATGCTGAACTTTTGAAGGTCACAGCCCAGCCTTCCAAAATCTACTGTTAGAGCTAACCCTGCAGTAATCTCATTAGGTGTATTTGTTTATGAAGTTCTTAAGAGTCCCCAGGGCAGCTTGCCAAACGGAACCCATCCAATATAAAACTTTATTTTAAGTAAATATTGTCATAATTTTAGGAAATATTAAAACAGCATCTGAAATCTAGATAGCAGGCAAGAATTGGCAAGCTAGAATAAGGAAGTTTTGGAAACCCCAATAAAGTGGCATCACCACCTCCCTCTCTCCCTCTTGTGTGTATATATTTGTGTGTGTGTAAGAGAGGGCGAAGGAGGGAGAAAGGAAGAGAAATTCTAGATGTTTAATTATTACCCAAATGTTACAGCCATTCAGAATTCCTTAGTTTGAGCAGCCTCAGCATCCAGTTTCCCCCCTGACTTTGAGACAGGGACTTGTAGCTACAGAGCTAGAGTCAACTTGGACCAAAATACAAAATTCAGGATGCTCTATTTGGGGACTGGGAATGACTTCTCCCCACTGCAAAGACTGGTTCAGCACATTATTCCTTCTCCTTTTTTGCCTAAAAAGTTAACCCCTTGGACCCCAACTCCCATAATCCATTATCCAACATAGTCAGTGGTTGTGCTATGTATTGTCAAAGGCTTTCATGGCTGGAATTATTGGGTTGTTGTGAATTTTCCGGGCTGTATGTTCTTCTGGAACATGGCCATACAGACCGGAAAACTCACAACAACCCAGTGGTATTTAGGGCATTCTAGAGGTTAGAACAGGGGTCCTCAAACTTTTTAAACAGAGGGCCAGGTCACAATCCCTCAAACCGTTAGAGGGCCGGATTGTAATTTGAAAAAACCATGAATGAATTCCTATGCACGCTGCACATATCTTATTTGTAGCGCAGAACCCAGTGTGAAGTGTGGGCCTGCTTTTGGCTGATGAGATAGGATTTTTGTTGTTGTTGTGTGCTTTCAAGTCATTACAGACTTAGTTTGATCCTGAGCAAGGGCCGGGTAAATGACCTTGGAGGGCCACATCCGGCCCCCAGGCCTTAGTTTGAGGACCCCTGGGTTAGAATCTATAGCAGTAGGACTCCTTCGTGCCCTATTGTTGTCTCACTCCTTTCTTGCTGCATTCTCTCCTAGGCAAACGGAAGCCTGACTTGATCCTCCTCAACTACGAACAAGTGGTGCTGCAGGAGGCCAGCCCCCTGACCCTGCTCTGCTCATCCACCTCTTCACATGAGAAGTCACCAAAGTGCTTCTCGTACAGTCCCTCCTCCACCAGCCCCCGCCTCACTTCCCCCACCAGCACCCTCTCACGCAGCCCCCTTAGCCCTATTGTCGCTGAGAAGTTCAACTGGCCCGACGTGCGAGAGCTGAGGTCCAAGTATTCTCCGCAGGCTGGCGTTGAGAAGAATAGGCCCCCACCTGTTAACAGGAGCCGCTCAGCACCTGAGAAGATGATGGATACTGGCAGGTTGCAAAGGAATCACCAGTGCTCAAAGAAGAATGTGAAAGCAGGTGTGAAATCTTCACGAGGGGAGATTCAGAGCTACAGAGTGGAGGCCCCAAATTGTTTCCTCCCCAAGTATCAGGCCTGTGATGCTCAGAAGGAATTTTGTGTCACAGCTGAGGCCTCTCTGGAGAACAGTCAGCGGGTGATTGTCATGGAGAAGCTGTCAGATGTGGCCGTTGAACCAGATGAGAGCTACGTGCAGATTCGTTCCCCTACTTCCCGGGAGAAAATCTCTCTCAAGGCTGTGGTGGAGCGATGTAAGGCCTACCAGGAGTCGGAAGAATACCGCAGGCGTGAGGAGGATGCTCAAGAAGTGGCACCCAGGAAAGCACTTCCACAGGTCTGGTGGGACAAAACAGACAGCAGCCAGCAGAGTCTGGTAAAGAACCTGAGGGAGAAATTCCAGACCCTGAATTCCAACAGTTGAGCGTCTACTTTTTTTTTTTTTTGGCTTTACATCTCTAAACTTCTGCTATGAACTAGAAAGGTTTTGGAAAATAAGGCCCTCTTATATTCTTGAGAAAGGACTGGCAGTGGTATACTTTCAGTAGTTTGCTACTTGAACTTCCCTCATCATTTTGCTCCATCATATGTGGACAACTCCTTAGAACTTCTGGGACCTTTCAAAGAACTCACTGGTGTTTTCTTCTTCTTCGGTATTCCAGTGACCTGGATGTGGTCCTTGCCAGATCTTGCTGTTGACACATTGTTGGACAGCTTATGTCCTAGAAGCATTGGGGAGCATCTGGTTAGAGTGGACAGGTTGTAAATTAGCTACTGAAAGGGCTTACTGTGAAATGTATTTGTTTTGGGGGGTCAGGTGTGTTTAGGAAGTTCTAACTTTGCAAAGCCAGAGCAGAAATGAATGAATAAGCTTTCTCTTCCTCACTTGCATAGGAGAATAAGTTATTGATCCAAGACCTTTCTTTCTTTCTTTCTTTCTTTTTTTAAGAATGTAATTTTATTCTGTTTAGGAGATTTGGTTGGTTCCATTCTCCCCATTTGAGAACATATAATCTTATAATACTGGTTGTGTACACCATTCAGTCTATATGCACTGTGCAATAACCACTTTTGACTAGAGAATATGGCATTGGCTTCTTCACTGGGGACTGGGATCACATTGGGAAAGATTGAATTCCTTGGATTTTGCAGTACATTTCATGCGTGTAAATCTACATGAGTCAGATTGACGAAGCTAAGAGTCACAGGTCTTCAAGTTCACAAGCATTAGCAGGAGTGAACACTGGTGTGGAGCTGATCTGCTATGGTGCTAGAATGGTCCAAGTCCCATAACATGACTCTTGGGGAACTACATCTTCTTAGAATAATACATATCTTAGATACACTAGTTCAACACAGAGGAATCATTTTCCTTTCTATACTATGATGGATTCATGACTGCAGGGCAAATACGTAGTGGTGCTTTCCCCCATTTTCTGGTATGGGATTAAAAAAATGTTTTACTTCCCATTTTCAGTGGGAGCAAAAATTCTGGTTCTTTCTGTTGTTTTGTTGGGTGAACAGAAGAGTAGCCTCTTCTAGAAGGCCTCCTTTTTACCCCTTATGACCTCGCCACAGGCTCTTCCATAGGAAAAAAATGCTTGGAAAACCTGTTTCCCCTTTCCCAGTGCAAACCTCTCTCTTTGCCATCTGAGAATGTCCTATGGCCCTGAACTGGGAATCATTGGAATGCAGACCCTTTGAAGATCAACATTTTCCAAAATGAGACATTTTGACAAAGGTAGGCTACAGTCCCAGCAAGCAGGGAGGTGTAGCAACTGGTGAGTCTTACTACAGGTACCTTGCGTTCATGAAACAGGTGGTGTCAATTTAAGAGGTGGGAATGGGTTTGAAGTGTGAGTACTCTGAACAGCATATGGTATCGGTGTCTGGAGATAATAATAATAATAATAATAATAATAATAATAATAATAATAGTTATTATTATTATTATTATTATTATTATTATTATCAGTGTCTGGAGTTAGTAAAATGGGGATATTGTTGCTATAGCAGTAGTACTGTCATCTCTGGAAGGTGTGTGCAATATTGAACATCCTCCCAAGAACATCGTTTTGCAAGGTCCTTTCCTTATGGTGCACTGTCCTAATAATAATATCTGTGTAGTAGTGTTTTCTGTGCACTTAAACTACTTCACATGTGATCACAAAAAATCCTTGCCACTACCCTGAAAGGCATGTAGTGTCGTCCCAACATTTCAGAAATGTCTTAGGGATCACGGCCATGTGATTAAATTAGGGCTGAGTTGAGACTTGAAGCTGGACTTCTTTAATGATAGCTTAGTTGCAGAAATTGCACACACACAGACACACAATTCCAGAAGCCTAGAAGGGTTTATTTGTTCGTTTATTTAAAAAAATGTTATTAAATTGCTTCTGAAGCACATTCTGAAGCTTTAGCTCTTTTTTTCTGGACAGTGGAAGCACATTGGAGCAGGTGGAGCTTAGTGCCTAGAGAATTAACCCCAGCCCCTTGGGCCTGTAGAAGAGGTCCTGGGCCCTGCATCTGTTCTCCTGGTTTCCACGAAACAGCCTTCACTGTTCTGAAGCCAACGTGTTCTGGGGCTGGTGACTGGATGTGAAGCTCCCTTCTAACACACCCTGACCTCTGCATCAATGGGGGGCCATTGAAAGCTAAGCCTGATGAGGGGGCAGCTGAAGAGAGGTGAAGTCACTCTACAGATCAAGCCTTCTAAGAAGGAAGAGCTGGGCTGAGCCAGGCATGGTGAGGCTGTAAGTCACCAGGGAGCAAATGGTTCCTGCTAAGATATAGTAACGTTCCTGGTCTGTAATGGGTAGGTGGACAATGCAATGAGACTCAGTGGCACACAGGCAACTACTCAAAGCCCTGCCAATTCTCTAATGGCAGCAGCGCCTGTGAAGGGACACTTCCAATGAGCATGGAGGCAGTTCAATGTTCACGTAGCAGGAACAAGTCTCGGAGCATTTGAGCCTAGCATTAGTGTACGGAAATGAGTGATTCGCTCTATATTGAACTCAACAGTGACAGGTGAAAGTGTTTTCTAAGAAAGGAAGGGATGGCTGAGCTTCTATCCAGAATTCCTGTGAAATGAAGTCCTAAATCATTTTGCAGAGGTACAACTGGATAGCTTGTTCAGTCAAGACTCCTTTTCCTGGTGGCTTTTGCAAGTCAACACAGTCCATCCCAATGTTAATGTGCTTTATTATTTGACACTAAAATTAAAATTAAACCCTAAAGCTGCATAATTCGTTGTACTCCTTGCCTACTGCCTTTCCTGAACTGTGAGGGTAGCTTGAACTACAATTTTTTAATGCACATTTAAACCAGAAACGTATACTTTTTCTTTTTTACTTCATCACACTAGGAAAAAAAATCCACTTTAAATCTGGTTTCTGCCTCCTGCAGAATCCTGAGGTTTGTAGTTTAGTGAGGCTGCTAAAGTCTCCTCCCTAAACTACAAACCTCAGAATTCTGCAGGAGGCAGAAACCGGATTTTAAGTGGATGTTTTTCTCTATAGGTCACACTCCCTAATTATTATTCCCTTCTTCAGTAAGCTCAATATTTACTTATTGGAAAGGGGAGTCCCGTCTTTCAGTGTTCCGATTTTGATTAAAGGGCCATGGTGAGCAAGCAGAGTTGAAAATTTCAAACATGGTAGGTCAGGATAAGGGTGGAAGAACATGGCCAAATGAGACCATTTACCTCTCACAGGTTTGCAGGAACCCCATGCTGATCACGTGCTGCAAACCTGAGGCCGTGCCTGCTATGTGACCTCCCTTGGGCTCTCCTTAGCAGTGGTCACAGGGACCTTTTCACACTGCAAGGAAGTGCATGTGCATTCTGACTAAATGGATCTTTTACCCAGAAATTGTTCTGAATGAATTGTCCTGGGCAATCAAGCAGATTTTAATCTCTGTGCAGGTCCTCCCTGTCCTGTTTAGCTTAGGTAAAGGTAAAGGTGGCCCCTTGACATTAAGTCTAGTCGTGTCCAACTCTGGGGGATGGTGCTCATCTCAATTTTTAAGCCAAAGAGCTGGCGTTGTCTGTAGACACTTCCAAGGTCACGTGGCCGGCATGACTGCATGAAATGCTGTCAGCTAATGTAGAAGATAACATAATTGTCCCAAATTGCTTCAGGTCCATCTGTATCCCTGTCTGCTGTGGCAGATTACCCAGGGCTACTCGTATCTGTGTTCTAACCCCGTCGTCTCACCTGTCTGTTCTCTGACTTCTTGCAATGACATAAAAGGTATCTGGGGGTGTTTATTGGGGGTGTTTATTACACCCCATGGTCTTTTTGTTCCAGAGTCTAAGCGATGCTGTATTTGGCATGTTACACCTTCAGTGTTCTGTGAGCTGTCCGAAGTCCCTCTGGGGAAATAGTATTCCCTATTTTTAGCTTTTCTTACTTTCTACAAGTCTACACTTACTTCATTTAGTCCAATTTTGGGACGTGTGAATTGTGGAGCAGTCTGCCTACATGTGTGTTTTGCCCTTGAACCACAAAAATGAAAGAGCGGGCAGCAGAGAGGAGATTCTTTATGGCAGTGATGGCTTAAGATGGCACTAGAAAGGAGACGTGCTGGCAGTTAAGCCGTTGGAATGCATCACTGTATCAGCACTGTTAAGTAGTGTTAATGCTACCAAAAAGCAAAAAAAATTAGTATTCACCACCCTATTCCCAAAATATACTAGCTTTTTCTTATTTATTTTTAATGCAGCATTGCGGGAAACTTTTATCTCCATTGCATCAGCAAGACCGCTCATATAGACTACCCATTACAGCTCAGGAGATCTGGGAAAGGTATAGCTATTGGAATTTACCAAAAACAACACCTAGAAACCAACTAAGCCTCAGCTCTTGGTACCTGGATCTGTGGTCACGGCGATCTGCGTTAAGCAGAGAGAGAACCCTCCTCTTTTCCACAGCTGGTGGTGGGTGTGAGGCAAAGGCATTCCCCTCAGGATCCTCAAGAGTGTCTCTTGCAGAAAAAGATGGTTTATAGCTTCCTTTAGAGTGAGGAGAGTCCCAACTGTTGTGTGCATGGTGTTTGCTGAGCTCGCTCACTCTTGAAGTGGTGACTATGGGATGCCCCTAGGTTAAGGCACTTTCAGTATGATCTATGGCATCCACAAAGAAAACAAGACTGACTGACTCTTAGAAAAAAGCAATGAGCCCTAGGGGTGAGATGCTCAAAAGACAACTGAACAAACAGTGTCTGGTATTCCAAGGACCCTTACGAGTCCCCAGACGGTATTGCCATCTCTGCAAAGAGACTGTTGCAGAAACAAAACTCCAGGCTCCTCCTCTTGGCCTAGGCTGTTCACGTCCCAGGAATATGTGCCAAAAAGGTAATTCGGCTGAGCTGCTATTTGTCCTTTGGACAGGGTTCTAGCCTTGGAAAAGTGGCTTGTGAATGTCTACGATGTACCTGCATATATATTAAACAGCCATTCACACACACGTCACAGGCAGAGGTCTCTGCAAAAGGGAGCTGCTGGGACTAGCACTGCACATTTGCTGTGAGTGAGAAAGCCACCCCAAAGAAGTGTAAGCAGTGCAGTGAATTGCCAAAGGCCATGCTCAGGCACCACACATTCTCAATGGGAACGATGGAGGAGCCGTTTGCTTCTGGAGAGCTGAGCCGACACAGAAAATGCTTTACAAAGCTTGGTGGAAAGCTTTCAGATTCAGGCTAATCACAAAGTGAACCCCAGCATACATAAGGGGGTGGGGGGTAATCAAGCCTCATAAAGCAACACGGGGCACAATCCAGTGTAAATTGATTGAAATCATATCCCACGGACATCAGTAGGGTGGCTTGCACAGTGAGGTGCTACTAACTTGAACTGGGTTGTGCTCATACTGTTGAAAGTAAGTGAGTATGGTTGTTCTTTCCCCCCATGTGTGTGATTCTGACAGGTTTCCATCCTAGCCCATTTGTTCCTCTGGCTGCAATCTTAATCCTGTATAATCCTATGGATTTGGTTACCATTTTAGTGGAAGCTAGACTGAGCCTTTAAGTGGAAGCAGAGTTCTGTGCTTTGTGACAGTGCTGTGCCTATGTGTATGTTACCGCTCCCTAAAAAGAGGGTGCTGGCCTCCTGAAAGCTGGCTTTCATCCTTCCACTATAAATGCTATAACAAGTCAGAAACTGACTTATGGGGGGGCCTGCCATATTCTTGTGTGTGTGTGGGGGGGGGGGGCAGACCCTTCGTTTATGCCTTGGAGAGAGAGGTGATTGTGAAGTTACATGGAAGAGTTCTGTTCCAACAAAACATGGGCAAGCCTACAAGAGCTATGGCTTTTGGTAAAGCTCTGGAGCCAGAGCATTTTCCAGCTCTGTAGGAATGAAAACTGCTCCAAAACCACACAACGAATTTCCACAGTTTTTATAAAGTGCCTTTTGGGCTACCTAGGTCCTTGTTCCATTCTTTTTATCCACACAAAGTCCCTGAAATCCACATAGTATCGTTTGCCTGAAGCAGTCCTCTCCTGGAAAAGTGTTTGCAAAGCATCACACACTGTCTTGGTAGGGAGTCACCCAAAGATACACATCTCATTGTTCTTTGGGGAGCACCGGTTGTCTTGGGGCCGGGGCATTGCTTTCCTAATTGAATTGATGGCCTGATGCCCTAGGAGGAGATTATGGGGTTGTGGTGGGGAGTAAGAAGCAAGGCTGTGTTTGGGGGAGGGGGGGATGAGAACAGTGTGGAGTGGCACCAGGAGTGTCCAAGGACACTCACACATGCAGTTTTTGTTATGCACAATACAGCAGAGGCATCTGACTGCAGCAAGCCACCTGTTGGGTTATTTCTTTTTGGGAAAGAAGCTGAATCTCTTCTCTTTTTCCTTCTTGGTCAGGTTGACGTCCATGGTAGTGATGGAAGGCAGAGGCAGGCTTTGGGCCTTGGTTTTAATGCTTTGGGATTCAATTATTGCTGTGCTGAAGCCCTGAAGCCAGGTGTGCATCTCGTCCTGTTGAAATAAGGGATAAAGGAGTATCAGCTTTTGCATTTCATGGCAAAACACCTTTAAAAAATGGCCCAAAATAGGAAGAATACTTTTCAGAATATGAAACCTTGAATTTGTAGTTATTATCATGTTTTAAAAACATTTCTCAGTAATAATAATAATCTTTTGTTTGTTTCCTGCCACCATCTCCCAGAGGGACTTGGGGCAGCTCACAGAACACTGAAGGTGTAACATGCAAAATACAACAAGTGCAAAACAAAACATAAACAATAAACAGTCAACATCACAATTTCACAGTACCCGCTGGTTAAAAACAATAACATACAGCTAATGCTGTAGGTAAAAACAGTATTCGATCTCAGAATTGTAAAGTGCTTGACAGAGAATCTAAAGGTTCTCATATGTATTATTGGAGAATCTAAACATGGTCAAAAGCTTGTTGAAAAAGCCAGGTTTTTCATTGTGTGCAGAAGGCTTTGAGGATGGGGCCCAGCTTGATCTCCTTCAGGAGGGCATTCCAGAGCCGTGGGCTCTCTCTCGTCCCCACCAACCGCACTTAGTAGCCTATTGAGACCAAATCCAAGGGGGGCAATTTAAATAGCAGAATAATACAGTCTGCAACAGTACTATTCATTTCAATAACTTTGTAAATCACTTCAGGACTTATTAGATGCAGTTGGCCTACATGACAATGCTTACCTCATCTTTTCCATGGAAGAGCCATTCACTCCCATTGCTGAGTCTGCAAAATTGAGATTTGATACATGATACATCTTTGTTTTGCCTCCGTAATGTATACAAGCATTAAAGGACTGCTGCTCTGAGATTAAAATACATCTGTTGTAAAATTCTAATGTGCTACTACTGAATTTAATGACCTGATGAATGACAGTACATACATTCTAGCAGTTATATGCTTTAAGATAACATCTTCCACCTTGAAGCCCAGACAGCTTCTTTGTTGCTAGCACACCTTTTGTTAAGAATCAATAGTGACCTTTATGTTCAAGGACTCATGCAGAAACAAGTCAGATGTAAGGATACTATTAGTGGGAACATGCTTGCTCTTACCTCAGCTTGAAGACATGTTTTTTCTTCTTGTAATCTGCAGCAACTTCACACAAGGCATTCTTCAGCCGAAAAGGCTCCTCTCCGTGGTAAGGCACACCTAGGGCCAGGCTCTTGGCATCCTTAAAGAAGGTCAGCTCACTGTTCCTGAGCACACAGTATAATGTATTCCAGGACCTAACAAAGAGGAAGGACCATGCCTTAATACGGGGACCCAATCAAACTGCCAGGTTCTTCTAAGGCCGGACAACTATGCACACTTATGAGGGATCTAAATCCATTACACAAAATAGGAATTATAAACATATTACACCTCAAAAATAATATTGTAGAGCCTGAAAAGGTAACAGCAAAGAGCAACCAAGAAGATTAGAATGATATATATTTATTTTATTGATTTTCACCTTCACCTTCCTAGAATGAAGAAGTGGGTTTGATTTTGGTTTGCAACTAGTGGGCATGTAGTGAATGGTTTTCACAGTGTTCAACCTTATTTCTCTCACAGTTAGCTGCAACTTTCTGTCGCTCATCAGGGGGAGCAATGTCAGCTAGCTTGTAGAGTTTATCAACTCTAGCTCCCAACCAATCAGGAGACAAAAGGGGGCTTCTGCCGATTAGCCATCCACCTGGCCAGCAGGAAACTTTCCTGCTGCACAGGGGGTTTCTGGGAAGGAGAAGCCCCCCGCCAATGCAATGGCAGGCAGGAGGATGTCCGCCACTGCAAGTCTCCTCCCAGTAAGTCAGGCAGAGCATTTGCATGGGCATGTGCTACTCTTGCCTCCCATCATCAACCCAATCACAACCCGCATAGTGTTGGAATAACAAAAGACCACAACTTGTTCATTGCTTTCAGAAGAGGGTCAGAATTGGCTGCCATGCATGGGTCTTGGATCAGGGATCAGGCAGCCCGGTGCTGACTGATACTCCTTAACCACACGGTGTTCAACACAGGAAGGAAACCTCTGACTTAGGCTCAATTCAGATTCCAAAAGTTTCTGATCCAACCAAGGCTCCCAGGAAGAGCCCCAAGCCCTCCTGCTTACTGGGGAGAAGAACGACCTACTGTGTTCAGAGATAAACACGGAAATAGCAAGGACTCTCTTCTCTTCTGGCTGCTCTCAGTGAGCAGTTGCAGGCACCAAACAGAGACCACACCTTAGACCTCAAGTAGTGCCAGCACCAATGGAGAGAACTTGACTATTGCTCCTCCTTCTCCATGTGGAGAGACAAAGGGGAGTGAATCCTGGATCCTGAGCAGAACACTGGGCAGAGAAACTCTGCTTAATGCTCCACACAGACAGGGCTGATGATATTATCAGAGCTGCAGGTGAGGAGGAGGGATTCAGCACACTTTGCCTTTCATCCAATAATCTGTGATTGCTTTCCCTGAAGAAATACCCATCAAGGTGCAACTATTTGATGCAACAGTACAATCTGTCAATCAATTCCCAATGCCATCTGCTTGGATCTAGAGCTCCAGATGCTATGTAAGTGGTTTACAATCACCATGGGCCATGTTTTGCTCCTTGAACTTAAGGACATGCACCTGATGCAAGGCTAATCATTTCTTGTCTTCCGAGATGGCAGCCATGACCTCATTGCTCCAAAGCTTTCTGGCTAAGACCAAGTGTGTGTGGCCTCAGGTGAACCAGTAATCTTCCCCAGTGCTTTTACTGTGATGCCACAATTCGTAAGGTCACCATGAGGAAAATCTCACAGCCATCATGCTCTATTCTTAAATGTTTCTAATGCATACAGATTTTGCTGATATGTAATTTCTACAGGGCCAACAATGTCACTTACAGAATCATCATCCATCCCAATTTATGGTGGACCCAGAGGATTTGTCTTAATTTCAGTTGTTTTCCTAATAATTTTCAAAGCAAAACCAAGAAAAAATATAGCATCTTCAAGAATAACATCTGTCAGCTAATTTGCAAATTATTATGACATATGTCTGAGTTACAACATTACAATTCATTGTTAGAGTCATTTTATAGTAATTCTACAGTCATTATCAGACCACACAATAGTTCAAAGTCACCTCGAACCTAACACTTAAATGGAGAAGTCCCTATCCCACACATGGCCATTTAATCTTTTAATAATTTTTAACGAATAAAATTTTTGAATAAAAATGAATAAATAGAAACAAGCCACACATTACAAAAACTACCAAAATAGATACAAAACAATAAAAAAGAAATATAAAATACACCACATCACCTACACACACATGACTTCCAGCTATCTTTCCTGTGGATATAACCCTTATTAAACTTCCACTTCTCTCTAATCTATATAAATAAAAAAGGTAATGTTTGTTTGTGGGATTAAAATAACTCAAAAACCACTGGACGAATTAACACCAAATTTGAACCCAATATACCTATTAGGTGAACAAGTGCCAATCACTCAGCAGAAGAGACTTAGAAAGCAAAAAATATATATTACAACTCATGCATAAAACCACATATATTATATACACACATACACACACAAAACACATATACACAGACTGGGCCACAGCAACGTGTGGCAGGGGACGGCTAGTCTATATAAATAAAAATGTAATGTTAGTTTGTGGGATTAACATAACTCAAAAACCTTTGGATGAATTGACACCAAATTTGGACACAATACACCCATCAGGCCAATGAGTGGCCACCACTCATAAAAACACTGAAAAACACAGCGGAAGAGACTTAAAAAGCCAAAATATAAAAAAATACATTACAACGCATGTGCAAAACCACATACATATACACAAACACACATATATACACACATACACAAATATATATACACACACAAAACACATATACACAGACTGGGCCACAGCAACATGTGGCAGGGGACGGCTAGTTTTTTTTATAAATTACACTTAATCTATACGTTTAACTTATACTAATTAACAAAACCTATAACAGCACACAGCAATTTCTGTTACCAAAAAGTAGGGGTATAATCAGGATATGTCTAGCTCTTTTCCAGTGGATGGACACAATACGACAAATAGCAGAAGAGTTCTCCATGTGTCCCCCTATTCTCCAGTAACTTAGAAATATCCATGTTGGTGTGGTCTTGGGGATAGCATCAGGAGGGGTAGCTATACAAACAAATCTACATCTCTATGCTACATCTCCGGATGCAGGACCTTGACCTAATAAATGTCAGAGGCCATCATATAATGTAGAGATTCATATAATGTAGAGATGAGGCTCCAAAACCCCATCAAACACTCAAAGTCCTACCAATGCCTCTAATATTTTGGGAGAGATGTAAATCCCCCCCCCCCAAAAAAAAACTACAAATCACAATTGATGGAGATTCCCAGGGAATAGTGCATAACTATATCAATCATGTAAAAAGAGCAATGGGACATCAGTTCCAGTTCTGATTTTGGCCCTACAGTGGCCGATTTTCAGGTGGGAATGGCTGGCTGGGGCGGCACAAGGAAAAAAACTGGCCCTGTTGCCTTCACCAATTACACCAATTATATTGCATTAATGCATGACATTCCACTACATCTGATATGAAGTGTTAGGCTGTTACTTTTAGGAACATGGGTTGGCATCCAGCTAACGAATTACGTCCAGTTAATTAATTCTCCAGTATCCCTACACACTCCACTATTCATGCAATGGGTATTCAAGAGGGCTATCAAAGCAAGGCCATAAGGAGAGTCACCATCATGACTAAGTGAGCAAGAAATCATGTTGAGTTAAAACTGTTGTGCTACTCTGGCCATCTTGAAATCTGAGCTGTGGTCTGAGAGAAACGCTTTGCCCTTTTCATAATGTTATTTTCAATGAGTTTTGTTAAATAACACCTGAAAGCCCACCCAAAGAAAGGGCTCACCTGTTGGAAGCCCTCTTGTTGGGTGCTTCTAGGTCATGCTTCCGTGCCAGGTAACCCTCAAGCTGAACGCTGTGAGATCTATCCAGCTGTGCAGGAAGGGTTGCTGTCTCATCTATTTCGCTCACAGGAGTCTGGGCCACTTTGAACAGGGATTCCTTTGTGGAGATTTCTTCACTATCCACCGTGATCTCTGTCTCAGGTATATTTTCTTCAGGAAGCTGTTCTGGAACCATTTCCTGACTTGGTTTCTCATTTTCCTGTACCTGCTGTGAAGATGCAAGAGGTTTAATTTAAAGAAAAGCAATTAGCATGAGATTACTACCATTTGTTCTACTTTGCTAAAGGAACTGAGTGTCCTCATTATGTATAAGAGAGGCAGACAACTGCTCTGGAGCAGGGAGCATTTTTTGCCCCCATAGTCCCTGGCATGCTGAGCCACACTCCAAATGAGGGGATGGACAAAGGTGACCAACTTCTGAACTCCACTGATTCAGATAGCAGAAAGCAGATTTTTTTAGTCTACCTCTCAGCAATGTATGAGATATCCAAGTTCATCAGTGAAAACCGATTAGTGAAACTCATTCTCCAGAGTGCTAGTTTACTATCTCTAGAAACTTTACTAAGAAGGGGAGCAATCAAATGTAGACAACCCAGCCCAGAATTTTATTAGCCTGTGACTCTGCTTTGAATTCCATTAGTAACATTATGGAAACAGCTATATTTCTGGGTATCTGGTTAACATAAAAAGGAGTGACGGTAATATGTGAGAAAGAAACAAGATAGCTCTCTGCTCAACATGGACAGTTTATTTATTTCATATCAAAAGCATTGTGTAAATTAGTAAAACTGATAAAAATAGAAGCACAACAGCAATGGCATTGTCTGTAGTCTCCAACAATTCATCCTCTGTGCATGAGGCAGGGCATAGTGGAAAAGCATTCAGATGTGGAGTTGTTTGCTCTGTTCCACAGTCACACAAGGTGAGGGGTTGTTTTAGGTAGTGTTATTTTACTAAGTTGTCTTTTGATCTTCCCACTCTGCTTCTGAGTCTGTTCAGGAACTTCCAAGTTGCCCATTCTTGGTTTGCCTCTGGAGAGGGGGGGGGGGCATCCAATTGGGATTTCCTGGTTTAGCTGCCCAGAGGGATATTCCTGCTGTTGCTGGGAAGATATTGGTGGTTCTCATGAAGCTTTTCCTGGATTTGAGTCTACTGGGAGGAGGCTGACACCCATGCAGTGGATGGCTTTCACAATGTTCAACCTTATTTCTCTCACAGTTAGCTGCAACTTCCTAGCTTGTAGAGTTTATCAACAGGTGTAGGTTTGAGACAGTGACATGGACAGTAATTCTCTGAGAAATCAGGGAACTGCTGGTTGGGGATAAGGTCTAGAAACTGGAACTATGCTACCTATGCACAGTGCAGCAGGTAGAACACTTGAGGAAGTCAGCTGTAGAGATCAAATCACAAGCCTTCATTCCCAATGACACTGCCTGCCTTTCAGTGGCAACTAGTGAGTCTCAGGTTAGTGAGGCTGAGAATCCACTTCACATTTTGGTAGGCTTTGAGACAGCAATCTATGGGGCCTAACTTATTTAAGAATAGTGTTCGATACTCTGGAGAGTTCCTTTAAAGTTCACAGGAAACTTTGGAATGGATTCACCACGCCACTGACATGGGAGCTACCAGCCTTGTTACCTTTCATATTCTGGGAATAATTTCCCAAACCGAAAGTGAAGACTCTTCTCCCATAAGGAACCTGTCATAAGCTCCATAATCACTTGAAGAACCATTTCTAGTTTAGCAACTTGTTCTTCATGATCTCTGTAACTCACACAAATGAGTGACTGTGAAGCTTACCATGATGGTAAGTCAGGTCATAACAACAGAGGCAGGATAGCATGTCCAAACTCAGCATCTGCTTGAGCTCTGCAATCAATTCTGAAATGCTAGATAGACATTTATTTATTCCCGCCCTAAACTTTAGACTTGTCTGAAATGATTTGAAGGCACACAACAATGATCCTAATTAACTTGACTATCTCATGAGCCAAAAGCAAGCCCACAACTCCCAATGGGAAGCCCATAGCTCCCACCGAAATCCCACAGCTCCCGCTGAAAGTATTGTTCTTTCATGTTTATTTGCACTACAAGTAAGATATGTGAAGTGTTTAAGATTTCAATCTTTTTTTCCAAATTAACACTATGAGGGGCCATGAACCGGTCCTCTGCTTAAAAAGTTTGAGGGCTCCTAAACTACAGGAATGCTTCTCTGCTGCTGCTCCTGCTCTTCATCTGCCAGAAAATTGGTGTATGGGAAGGGAATGCAGAGTAAAGCAAAGTTGGTTTTTATTAGGGATTTGAACAGAGACTTACCATGGTTATGCCATGTGAGATACATCCTGATCTAGGATCTCAACCTGGGTTTCCTTTGGGCATGTGATTGCTACACTGGGAATTGTAACTCAGTTGTATGAGTACACTGGCCAACACACATTTTGGTGCCTCAAATATTAGACCTGATTCTGGGTATATTTTACCTGCTGATTCCAAAAATGGCACCAGCTCTAGTTTTTGAGATACAGAACATAACCATATCTAAGAAACTAGAATGGATGATGTCTATCAAACACTATTTTCTAAATCAGAAGCCCAAATAGTCCCAGAAACAGACCTAAAAACCAAGACATTTTTTTTGGTTGAGCTGCGTTATGATATACGCTTTACCTTGCAAAACAGAAATGTCTGAGATTCAGGGCCAATAACCCTAATGACAGCAATGTAAATATTGATAGTGTAATCCCACACATCTCTACTCAGAAATAAATCCTGTTATGTTCTATGTAACTCAGACCAATGACCTCATTATACTTACCAAAACAAGTGTCCTAGGACACTTTGAGCCTTCTTCAGGGACGGACCGCCATGACGGCCATCACTCAATGCTGTGTGGCTTCTGGCAGTGGCCCTGCCCCCAACCAGGGTGAAAGCATCCTTGGACGCTTCTCCCCAAACACAGAGGCCTTCCAGTTTTGTGCTGGCTCCAATGCTTTTGCCCTGTTTGGGCAATGCCTCCCCCATGTGATTAGGGAAGCGTCATCGTACATGCCATTTTGCCACACTTGCTGGTAAAACTGCACCGTGTGTGTGTGGGGGGGGGGGGGGGGGGGGGGGGGCTGTAGCTGGGGGGGGGGGTTCACCATTTCAGGTTAAAAAAACTGGTTTACTCATGAATTTTAACTGGTTAACCAAAGCCCCATGCTAAGTCTATGAGAAGCAAACATTAAATTGATTTAATTAAGTATATATAAAATACAGAATGAACCATACAATTTAAATTATTTTGTGTTATAGAACTACTCTAACCCACCCTCCCCTCCTGATTTTTTTTTTTCTGGCTATGGCACTGGCGGGGGGGGGGGCACACTCCTGTATGATAAGATCAGAAGATAAAAGTATAATTTCAACATAGTTCTAAGAAAACTGAATTTGACTGTTGTGTGGATCACAGTTTAACTTCACTTTAGTATGTATTCAACATCCAACCAGTCATAGAACTAGGTAAAGCTAACCTTAAAAACGTGGGATACACACAAAGAACTGGGATGCCCTGGCTCTCTGATATTCTAATGGAGATCAGCTGTTATCAACAGTGCTATGGATTCTGAAGGGGCACAAATAGAGGACAAAAGGGGGAAATGTGCCAAGAGGAAGGCATGTAAAGCAAATCCTAGTTGGGACTGCCTTCCTTTTGGAAATGAATGTAATCACTGCAAAAGACCATGTCGTCTCCAGAATACAGTCACTTACACACCCACTGCCAAGACTCTACCCTTGGAAGATAAGCATACTTGGCCATGAGTGATCGCCTATAGTATTAGTAGTACAACTGGGATTCTCAGCTCAAACACCTGGGTCCGACAGCTCTCAGGTTAAGGAGGAAGACTATTGTGGTGAAACACTATATTTTGTATGTGTTTAATTTTGTTACTTTTTTAAAATTCGAATAGCATGCTCTCAGCAATGGTGGTTGATGCTTCATGTATCATGATCATGATGACATTACCAGGGCCTGCTTCCCCTGACATCTAAAGAATTATTCTCCAGTTTCAGTTCCTGGTCCACAGACTGTGATAGTTATGACCTGGTAACCCTACATGCAACATAATGACTCTGCATTGGCATGATAGTCAATGAAGCAGTGATTTTTAAAAATTATTTATTTACTATAGTTATATCCTGCCATTCTCAACCCCAAAGGGGAGTCAGAGTGGCCTTACAATCGGCAGCAATTGGATGCTGTCAACAGACAATAGAAAATAGACAGACCTTCATCAAAATGTTCTCTATAGCAACATCCTGATGGAGAATCCAAGGGTACAGGATGATGTATTGATCTAAGTTTCTAGATGTATTAATCCTCATTATGAGTAGGTATTTTGGCTTTTCCTTGAATTGATCTTTTCCACTCAAGGCAAAGCCACCATAACCTTGTTTGTTATTACCAACCCTCATATTTCTACTGCTATGCTGTGCTTCTTATGTGTGCTATATTCATGATTATTTTAGCTTTGAGATATCTATTACTTCAGACCTTGCTGCCTTTAATGATTTGCTGCTTCTGGCTGGATGTGGATGGATGGGAGTTTTAGATTGCCAAGAGTTGGAACTAATACATTCTAATAGCAGGATACAGTATCAGTCTGCTCAAACAAGCTAAAACTATGGGTAGTGTTAACAGTACAACATGGTTTCCACATATGCTACTTTAATCAATATGCAACCAGGTGCCAATCAGAGCTCAGGATTCATCTGGGGTCCACAGAGCTTTAAAAAATCACAGTTGCCAGTTTCATTCACATGCAAATAGACTGGTCCTCAGTATATGGCTTAAGTGTGAGTGTTTTATAATTTTCTTATTTTTTTTATTTCTGCAAGCATTCTTCATGTAAATCATTGTTGCTCTCTGCTGGTAAAAATAATATACAAGGGAATGAAATTGCCCTCATCAAAATTTCTGAATTGGCAATTCCTATCCAGCTATAACAGTAACCCTAAATCCAGCCACAAATTAGATTAGGCCCAATTCTGAACAAAGAAGACAAGAGAGATCACTAGAATCTCTACAGCAGGGAAACTAGCTAGTTGCAAGACAGAACTCTCTTAATTCCCCTTTTTATTTTTAAAGAGCAATTGAAAATTACCTCTCTGTTGTCAGAACATGCTTGGGGTGAGTGGGAAGGAGGTCTTAAATCCATGACATTAGAA